TGGCTTTCTTTGTCGTTGTTGCACTTCAATACACAGTCACAGTCCAGCCTTTGTCTTTTGATATTTGCGTGCTTTACTAAATCGGAAGGTACGACAAGCAGATAGGCAGATTAGTTCAGGCGCAGACAGAGCAAGGTGAAAACGTCTTCATTCAATTCCCTACAGTTATAACAAATTGGCGACGGGGTTTTACCTTAATTCATTGCAGTTATAACAAGCAAGCAAACGACGACAGTTTTTATTCTGTTCAGCGCAGCTATATAACATTTTTGACTGTGTTAATTACAACCCAATTACAATGTCTATCTCTCTGGACGATCTCAAATCTATCTTGCAGCAGCAGCAAGTTCAGAATGAAGCAGCTCAACTAAAATTAATCGAAGCTCTCACTCAGAAGCTGTCCATTCAAGTTCCATCAACATCTCATTCTGACAAATATGAAAGCATCTCAAATTCCATCAGTGAGTTCAACTACGACCCAATATCTGGTCTCGTATTTGATGCATGGTTCAATCGTTACGAAGACGTCTTCCGTATTGAATGCTACATGTTTGATGATGCTGCCAAAGTCCGATTGTTACTAAGAAAACTTGGTACTGTTGAGCACAACAGATATGTTAACTTCATTCTGCCCAAGAACCCACGTGAGTTATCATTCGATGAGACAGTCACCGTTTTATCACAAATCTTTGGTGAACAGTCATCCATGTTTAATATTCGGTATCAATGTTTTCAGTTGACAAAAATGCCTTCCGATGATTATGTGACTTACGCTGGCAAAGTGAACAAGGAATGTGAAAGGTTCAAACCACACGAAATGACATCAGATCAGTTCAAGTGTTTGATTTTTATTTGTGGGTTGAAGAACCCAGAAGATACTGACATACGAACTCGACTTCTGTCACTCGTGGAACAAGACCCGAAAATGACTTTACAAATGGTGACAGCAGAATGCCTACGTTTAATCAACTTGAAGCACGATACTGCTATGGTGGAGTGCAAACGACAGTCGTCTGAATTTGGTTCGATTAACACAGTGAAAAGTCCTCCGATCACCGTTAAGCACACAGAACGTCAGTCTCAAAATTCAGCTAAACCTCCTTCAGTGTGCTGGCACTGTGGTTCGTGGCATTTTGTCAAGTTCTGTCCTTTCAAGAAGCATAAATGCCGTAATTGTCACCGTTTTGGACATAAGGAGGGTTACTGTACACCGCAGAAAAATCCTTCGGTGAGGAACAGAAGTAGTCGTTTCGAGCCGAAACAATCTCCTCGAGTACAGACCGTTTTCACTACTTCCAAAGTCGAGTTCGCCAGCAAACGTAAGTACATAACACTAGATATTAACGGCAAACGTATTCGTCTTCAGTTGGATACGGCATCAGATATCACCGTAATTTCCCGAACTACGTGGCGCAAACTTGGTTGCCCACAGATTCTGCCGACCGAGCATGTCGCCAAGAATGTCTCTGGAGATATACTGAAACTCGTGGGTGAGATAAATTGCCAGGTTCAGTTTGGTGAGCATCACTTCAATGGTGTATGTTACGTTACAAACTACCATGATTTGAATTTGCTTGGTCTTGACTGGTTAGACAAGCTCCATATCTTTAATGTACCATTAAATTCAGTATGCTCTAATGTTTCGTCTTCACCACACAACGTTGTTCCCGGAGATGTATCTGATCAATCTCTCTTGCAACGCCGTCGTCAAAAGCACGCTTCTGTCTTCCAGGACAAACTTGGTTGCTGCAAACTGTTTGGCATCCAGCATATTCGTAGCCCCCCGTATCATCCCCAATCGAATGGACAGACTGAACGTTTCGTCGACACCTTTAAGCGTGCTTATGCAAAAGCGAAGGGGGAGGGAACAACAGAAGAAATTTTGGATAAATTCTTGCTGCATTATCGTACGAATGAAAAAGGACAGTTATGTGTCAGACACACAGATCACGCTCTATCCAGTACCACGCAAAGGTCAACTCGACAAAGAAGAGCTCCGAAACCTTTTCAAATAGATCCAAAAAGCAAGTCCTACACTCTTTACGGGGGAGGTGATAGGATCCCACATATTTTGGTATTGACTGTTTAAACTTGCATATATGGTATGTTATCATTCTCACACATTTTGGTAGTGACTGTTAATCTTGCATATATGGTATATTATCATTCCCACACATTTTGTTATTGACTGTCAATCTCGCACATATGGTATATTATCATCTCTCACGCACTTTGTTATTGGCTATTAAGATCAATTATTTCAAATGCTGTTAGCTGTCCATATTGTTGTAAAATGTATAAATACCATGGCTTTCTTTGTCGTTGTTGCACTTCAATACACAGTCACAGTCCAGCCTTTGTCTTTTGATATTTGCGTGCTTTACTAAATCGGAAGGTACGACAAGCAGATAGGCAGATTAGTTCAGGCGCAGACAGAGCAAGGTGAAAACGTCTTCATTCAATTCCCTACAGTTATAACAAATTGGCGACGGGGTTTTACCTTAATTCATTGCTTAATTCATTGCAGTTATAGCAAGCAAACGACGACAGTTTTTATTCTGTTCAGCGCAGCTATATAACATTTTTGACTGTGTTAATTACAACGCAATTACAATGTCTATCTCTCTGGACGATCTCAAATCTATCTTGCAGCAGCAGCAAGTTCAGAATGAAGCAGCTCAACTAAAATTAATCGAAGCTCTCACTCAGAAGCTGTCCATTCAAGTTCCATCAACATCTCATTCTGACAAATATGAAAGCATCTCAAATTCCATCAGTGAGTTCAACTACGACCCAATATCTGGTCTCGTATTTGATGCATGGTTCAATCGTTACGAAGACGTCTTCCGTATTGAATGCTACATGTTTGATGATGCTGCCAAAGTCCGATTGTTACTAAGAAAACTTGGTACTGTTGAGCACAACAGATATGTTAACTTCATTCTGCCCAAGAACCCACGTGAGTTATCATTCGATGAGACAGTCACCGTTTTATCACAAATCTTTGGTGAACAGTCATCCATGTTTAATATTCGGTATCAATGTTTTCAGTTGACAAAAATGCCTTCCGATGATTATGTGACTTACGCTGGCAAAGTGAACAAGGAATGTGAAAGGTTCAAACCACACGAAATGACATCAGATCAGTTCAAGTGTTTGATTTTTATTTGTGGGTTGAAGAACCCAGAAGATACTGACATACGAACTCGACTTCTGTCACTCGTGGAACAAGACCCGAAAATGACTTTACAAATGGTGACAGCAGAATGCCTACGTTTAATCAACTTGAAGCACGATACTGCTATGGTGGAGTGCAAACGACAGTCGTCTGAATTTGGTTCGATTAACACAGTGAAAAGTCCTCCGATCACCGTTAAGCACACAGAACGTCAGTCTCAAAATTCAGCTAAACCTCCTTCAGTGTGCTGGCACTGTGGTTCGTGGCATTTTGTCAAGTTCTGTCCTTTCAAGAAGCATAAATGCCGAAATTGTCACCGTTTTGGACATAAGGAGGGTTACTGTACACCGCAGAAAAATCCTTCGGTGAGCAACAGAAGTAGTCGTTTCGAGCCGAAACAATCTCCTCGAGTACAGACCGTTTTCACTACTTCCAAAGTCGAGTTCGCCAGCAAACGTAAGTACATAACACTAGATATTAATGGCAAACGTATTCGTCTTCAGTTGGATACGGCATCAGATATCACCGTAATTTCCCGAACTACGTGGCGCAAACTTGGTTGCCCACAGATTCTGCCGACCGAGCATGTCGCCAAGAATGTCTCTGGAGATATACTGAAACTCGTGGGTGAGATAAATTGCCAGGTTCAGTTTGGTGAGCATCATTTCAATGGTGTATGTTACGTTACAAACTACCATGATTTGAATTTGCTTGGTCTTGACTGGTTAGACAAGCTCCATACCTTTAATGTACCATTAAATTCCGTATGCTCTAATGTTTCGTCTTCACCACACAACGTTGTTCCCGGAGATGTATCTGATCAATCTCTCTTGCAACGCCGTCGTCAAAAGCACGCTTCTGTCTTCCAGGACAAACTTGGTTGCTGCAAACTGTTTGGCATCCAGCATATTCGTAGCCCCCCGTATCATCCCCAATCGAATGGACAGACTGAACGTTTCGTCGACACCTTTAAGCGTGCTTATGCAAAAGCGAAGGGGGAGGGAACAACAGAAGAAATTTTGGATAAATTCTTGCTGCATTATCGTACGAATGAAAAAGGACAGTTATGTGTCAGACACACAGATCACGCTCTATCCAGTACCACGCAAAGGTCAACTCGACAAAGAAGAGCTCCGAAACCTTTTCAAATAGATCCAAAAAGCAAGTCCTACACTCTTTACGGGGGGAGGTGATAGGATCCCACATATTTTGGTATTGACTGTCAAATCTCGCACATATGGTATATTATCATCTCTCACGCACTTTGTTATTGGCTATTAAGATCAATTATCTCAAATGCTGTTAGCTGTCCATATTGTTGTAAAATGTATAAATACCATGACTTTCTTTGTCGTTGTTGCACTTCAATACACAGTCACAGTCCAGCCTTTGTCTTTTGATATTTGCGTGCTTTACTAAATCGGAAGGTACGACAAGCAGATAGGCAGATTAGTTCAGGCGCAGACAGAGCAAGGTGAAAACGTCTTCATTCAATTCCCTACAGTTATAACAAATTGGCGACGGGGTTTTACCTTAATTCATTGCAGTTATAAGCAGTATAGCAAGCAAACGACGACAGTTTTTATTCTGTTCAGCGCAGCTATATAACATTTTTGACTGTGTTAATTACAACGCAATTACAATGTCTATCTCTCTGGACGATCTCAAATCTATCTTGCAGCAGCAGCAAGTTCAGAATGAAGCAGCTCAACTAAAATTAATCGAAGCTCTCACTCAGAAGCTGTCCATTCAAGTTCCATCAACATCTCATTCTGACAAATATGAAAGCATCTCAAATTCCATCAGTGAGTTCAACTACGACCCAATATCTGGTCTCGTATTTGATGCATGGTTCAATCGTTACGAAGACGTCTTCCGTATTGAATGCTACATGTTTGATGATGCTGCCAAAGTCCGATTGTTACTAAGAAAACTTGGTACTGTTGAGCACAACAGATATGTTAACTTCATTCTGCCCAAGAACCCACGTGAGTTATCATTCGATGAGACAGTCACCGTTTTATCACAAATCTTTGGTGAACAGTCATCCATGTTTAATATTCGGTATCAATGTTTTCAGTTGACAAAAATGCCTTCCGATGATTATGTGACTTACGCTGGCAAAGTGAACAAGGAATGTGAAAGGTTCAAACCACACGAAATGACATCAGATCAGTTCAAGTGTTTGATTTTTATTTGTGGGTTGAAGAACCCAGAAGATACTGACATACGAACTCGACTTCTGTCACTCGTGGAACAAGACCCGAAAATGACTTTACAAATGGTGACAGCAGAATGCCTACGTTTAATCAACTTGAAGCACGATACTGCTATGGTGGAGTGCAAACGACAGTCGTCTGAATTTGGTTCGATTAACACAGTGAAAAGTCCTCCGATCACCGTTAAGCACACAGAACGTCAGTCTCAAAATTCAGCTAAACCTCCTTCAGTGTGCTGGCACTGTGGTTCGTGGCATTTTGTCAAGTTCTGTCCTTTCAAGAAGCATAAATGCCGTAATTGTCACCGTTTTGGACATAAGGAGGGTTACTGTACACCGCAGAAAAATCCTTCGGTGAGGAACAGAAGTAGTCGTTTCGAGCCGAAACAATCTCCTCGAGTACAGACCGTTTTCACTACTTCCAAAGTCGAGTTCGCCAGCAAACGTAAGTACATAACACTAGATATTAACGGCAAACGTATTCGTCTTCAGTTGGATACGGCATCAGATATCACCGTAATTTCCCGAACTACGTGGCGCAAACTTGGTTGCCCACAGATTCTGCCGACCGAGCATGTCGCCAAGAATGTCTCTGGAGATATACTGAAACTCGTGGGTGAGATAAATTGCCAGGTTCAGTTTGGTGAGCATCACTTCAATGGTGTATGTTACGTTACAAACTACCATGATTTGAATTTGCTTGGTCTTGACTGGTTAGACAAGCTCCATATCTTTAATGTACCATTAAATTCAGTATGCTCTAATGTTTCGTCTTCACCACACAACGTTGTTCCCGGAGATGTATCTGATCAATCTCTCTTGCAACGCCGTCGTCAAAAGCACGCTTCTGTCTTCCAGGACAAACTTGGTTGCTGCAAACTGTTTGGCATCCAGCATATTCGTAGCCCCCCGTATCATCCCCAATCGAATGGACAGACTGAACGTTTCGTCGACACCTTTAAGCGTGCTTATGCAAAAGCGAAGGGGGAGGGAACAACAGAAGAAATTTTGGATAAATTCTTGCTGCATTATCGTACGAATGAAAAAGGACAGTTATGTGTCAGACACACAGATCACGCTCTATCCAGTACCACGCAAAGGTCAACTCGACAAAGAAGAGCTCCGAAACCTTTTCAAATAGATCCAAAAAGCAAGTCCTACACTCTTTACGGGGGGAGGTGATAGGATCCCACATATTTTGGTATTGACTGTTTAAACTTGCATATATGGTATGTTATCATTCTCACACATTTTGGTATTTACTGTTAATCTTGTATATATGGTATATTATCATTCTCACACATTTTGGTAGTGACTGTTAATCTTGCATATATGGTATATTATCATTCCCACACATTTTGTTATTGACTGTCAATCTCGCACATATGGTATATTATCATCTCTCACGCACTTTGTTATTGGCTATTAAGATCAATTATCTCAAATGCTGTTAGCTGTCCATATTGTTGTAAAATGTATAAATACCATGACTTTCTTTGTCGTTGTTGCACTTCAATACACAGTCACAGTCCAGCCTTTGTCTTTTGATATTTGCGTGCTTTACTAAATCGGAAGGTACGACAAGCAGATAGGCAGATTAGTTCAGGCGCAGACAGAGCAAGGTGAAAACGTCTTCATTCAATTCCCTACAGTTATAACAAATTGGCGACGGGGTTTTACCTTAATTCATTGCAGTTATAACAATACTCACTTCTTATTGAACAATATTAATATTGTAAATAGCCTATTTTAAATTCGTGGAAAATACCCATTGGCACATTATATTGAAACGAACAAGAAGTTAAGCGAAGCTATCTTTTCGGCGATTTCACTTTCAAAAGAAACAGGGAACTCTGGGAGCGAACCAACCAGAAACTGATTGTGAAACAAATAGGCAGAAAGAAATGGAGATGGATTAGTCATACTCTGAGGAAACCATCAAGTGACATCACTAGACAAGCCCTCGAGTGGAACCCGACAGAGTGGGAAGCGGCGAGTTGGTCGTCAGTGCAAGGGTGACTTGGAGGATGTCATGTGAAGAGGAGATGAATGCATGTGGGTAGATTTGGAGTGGGATGAAAAAGTTGACAGAAAACCGAATGCATTGGAGACGCACAGCTGAAGCCCCATGTCCCTCTAGGAATTAAAGGATATAATAATAATTATACTCTCAAAAGAAGTCGGTAGATTTTTGTTCACTTTGTAAATGACTATAAATGATGAGTCAGTTGAGACCATGTGAAAGGTATTGACGAGATGTTCAGTTATTGCGCTTCTGATTGAACATCTCGTTAATACCTGTCACAGAATCTCAACTGACTCATCATTCAGAGTCATTTACAGAGTAAACAAAAATCTACCAAAGGCAGTGTGTCTCTGACTACTTTGTACTGCGGAAGCTCTCACCATATGCATCGAAAAGCCGGAACTATGTATTCAAAAGAAACCAGTCAAGCCTCTACAACTACCATGAACCTAGTTCGGTATATTCCCTTATCCTTCAGTTTTTTTGTGTTTTGTGTTGTTATCTGTGTGTGTAATTTCCTCTCTTTGTCTTCAACCAATTCATCCCATTTTTTCAGTTATAAAAACAGTTATTTTAAGTTTGTTCCCATGCTCCTCCTGAACACACTTGTAATCCATTTAGTATAACCACGTCAATGTAGTTGAAGATTGAACGATCAATTCATGGTTGTCTGCTCAAACCCTACTTCCCCAATTTTCGCGAAGACATCGGTACACCAGTCATCGTCTCATCGGTCGCTGTTCAGAAAGAAGTCAGGCCAAAACTGTCAGAAGTAATATTGTGATTTATTATTGTAATATTTGTTCATAGACCTTAGTTAAAGCTTAATTTTAAAGTTGGGTATATATTGGTGTTACAATAAAGAATTCTCGAGTAGCCAATCGGTGTTTTGGTTTTGCGTCCGTTATTACTGAGCGTTTCTGAGGAACTTCAAGCAATAGCGTGAGCCCGAGCGTAGCAAGAGCTGGGCATTGACGGTTTACGAGACGTGGCTGACAAACCATTTTACAATTATATTCCAATCCTGTGTAATTTTTGTTTCTATGCCTCTTGTAATCTATATTGACACCTCTTAACTTTCATTTCCATTTGAAGAATTTGATTTCAATTTGTTTCCATGCTCATTTTGTTCACACCCCTAATTCGTTCTATCCCAGTGTAATTTTTGTTTCTAAGCCTCTTGTAATTCATATCAAGTTGAAAATAATTATCATCTTTTATTCGCCTTTAAAATTATTTCTCCACTTATCAAACATTAATTTTTGCATACGTTGTAACTGTTCTCTAATCCTATGCAATCTTGTCTCTAAGCCCTTTGTAATCTATATTCATAACTTCAAACTTTCATATCAAGTTGAAAATTATTATCACCTTCGTGACTATGTGAAATTAAACAAATCATAATTGTAACCATGTAAACTGATCTATATAAATGCGATTATACAGCTTATTTTAAATTATTGGCCCTGTAATGAGAAAATTAGATGTAATATTGTGTATTACGTGCTGAAAATTCCATGTTTGTACCAAAAGTACTGTTTGGTATTATTATTATTGTTATTATTCCTTACCTGACGCTGCACATTTAACCTTAATAACACACATCATATGATTCCACTTAACACGGAAAGAGAACGCAAAAGATATCCAAAAAAAACTCATCAGGCCTTTCACATTTAATGACCATGTCAGTGTAGTCGATTCCTCCAATATTATTTGACATTACATTTGACAGGAGTAATTCGTATGCCAGATATTCGAAGATTTCTGTTCAAGATGAATTTAAAAGATTGCATTTTGTCGATGTCTTCACCTAACAGGAGGACAACATCTTCCACATACTCTAAGTCGATCCTCCGAAGTCGCTGAAACCAGTTAGAGTAAAATGAAACTTCAATAAAAATAGGGACAATAGACATGCGTGACAGACAACCACTCAGTCATTAATCTTGTCATTTGTTCAAATGATTGAAATGAAAATCTGTTTAACGTCTCTATAAGTTCATTATAAATCATTTAAATTAATCCCAGCATGTTAAGAAAATCAAAACAAGATTTTTCTGAACGTTTCACTGTGTAAGCCACAGCTTCTTCAGCAGATTTATTGAAGTCAGTTTATTTGAAGGTCACTTGTCCATGAACACTTGTACCAATAGAAATATGTAAGCAGTCATCCCATATATCTGTCATGACTAATGTCAAATTGTTGTTGTGTTCACTCTTCTATAGCTGATTTGTAAAGATTAGTTTTGTATGAGTGTGTGTATGTATGTTATTTGTCACATGGAAAATACGTGAATTCATATGTGATAAACATGATACTTACTACATGTTTTGAAAGGTCATGGAGGCTCATAGAGTGTTTCTTGTTTTTCCATCTGTCTTGCTTCATAAGAGTTTGCCATATAGGTGATAAGTCTATACCTTCCTTCCTATTCACTGCATTCGATGTGGTTAAAACGTGCAAGGCTTCAGAGGTCAATCTTTCTTTATGCGAATAAAATCATCTTCCAAGAATTTCGACATTGTCGAAATCAACTTTATGTCCACTGTCTATCACATCCATTGCTACAGCCGATCGTTTTTCTAGGCTTTTTAATTCTACCTCATTTCTAGATGGACGTTTCGTGCATAGTCTATGTTCATTTACTCTGACCTTTACCTGCTTACTGCTCTCCCCTATATAGCATGCATCACATTCTGAACACTTTATCATGTAGACACAATTACTTTGTGACATTTTGGGAACCATATCTTTGACACGCACCAGCGCTTTCTCCAGAGAATTAGAAGGTTTGACATAGACTTTAATATTATATGTGATAGACAGCGAACATAAGATTGATTTCGACAATGTCGAAATTCTTGGAAGATGATTTTATTCGCATAAAGAAAGATTGACCTCTGAAGCCTTGCACGTTTTAACCACATCGAATGCAGTGAATAGGAAGGAAGGTATAGACTTATCACCTATATGGCAAACTCTTATGAAGCAAGACAGATGGAAAAACAAGAAACACTCTATGAGCCTCCATGACCTTTCAAAACATGTAGTAAGTATCATGTTTATCACATATGAATTCACGTATTTTCCATGTGACAAATAACATACATACACACACTCATACAAAACTAATCTTTACAAATCAGCTATAGAAGAGTGAACACAACAACAATTTGACATTAGTCATGACAGATATATGGGATGACTGCTTACATATTTCTATTGGTACAAGTGTTCATGGACAAGTGACCTTCAAATAAACTGACTTCAATAAATCTGCTGAAGAAGCTGTGGCTTACACAGTGAAACGTTCAGAAAAATCTTGTTTTGATTTTCTTAACATGCTGGGATTAATTTAAATGATTTATAATGAATCAATCTGACTCGGCGCTCAAATTATTCCAGTAAGTTCGTAACACCTACGGTCTGGAAACTTATAGTCTTTATAAGTTGTTTCATCATTTCGAATTATTCGCGAAAAATACCCATTAAGACATTGAAATAAGAACAGATTAGTTCAGCGAAGAGTCTCTTTTCGGCGAATTCATTCTCTTAGCTGTACAGTCGCAAATATATACAATTAATTTTGTGTGTGTGTGTGTACATCAGGTTTGTCAAAATAACAGTTAGTGTGGGTTGTTGATTACATCATCAAAATAATATAGAAATTAAAATGTGTGATTAATAATCAAAGTTGTAACTAAGTGGGGTGAAAATTGGTAAGATATGAGTAGGGTTACGTAATATAGACATGTTTAGAAAGATTAGATGTTCGTGAAGGAGTATGGAGACAATTACGAAAATAAACTAGATAATAGGTGAAAAGATTGAATGGGTTAGTTACTAAAAATTATTATACGAATTTTGAAAAAAAAAATTACAAAAATTTGATGACAAAATGTTGATGACAGATGAACTTGAAATTAAAATCACGGTAGTAGGAGGGGGTGGAGAAGTTTCTTCTGTGTGCATAATTCAGGTTTTTCTATCCAAATCGCTAAGGCTTCGGCAATACAAAGTATACGGAAGCTTGTCGATTTTGGAAGGCTTCTTTTGACTTTATAGATGACTTTGAATGACTTCTCCTTGCAAATCGAGTGACCAGTGTTGAGTATATGCTCAATGATGGCGCTCCTTATTGCTCCATTGTTACCTTTCCGTAGCCAGGCGGGATAGTGTTTAGTAACTAACCCATTCAATCTTTTCACCTATTATCTAGTTTATTTTCGTAATTGTCTCCATACTCCTTCACGAACATCTAATCTTTCTAAACATGTCTATATTACGTAACCCTACTCACATCTTACCAATTTTCACCCCACTTAGTTACAACTTTGATTATTAATCACACATTTTAATTTCTATATTATTTTGATGATGTAATCAACAACCCACACTAACTGTTATTTTGACAAACCTGATGTACACACACACACACAAAATTAATTGTATATATTTGCGACTGTACAGCTAAGAGAATGAATTCGCCGAAAAGAGACTCTTCGCTGAACTAATTTGTTCTTATTTCGGATTATCTTGTGTTTGTGAACAGACTTTCGTTTCTGGATGTACCTGCATTCCCCCAGCGAGTGATGGCGTTCCCACTGAAGCTGGAACCCAGTGTCCATAGTTTAAAATGCTTATGCGTTACCTACTAGACCACTTGAGCCACTTGAGCCACCTCTTGTGAAACGGGTCATTTTAATCATTTAATTGAATTTTAGATTTTCCTGTCGAATCAATCGACGGGAGTGCTCGGTCTAGTGGATAACGCCGAATGCGTTTTCAAGCTATGGGCACTGGGTTCAAGCCCCGGTGGGAAAATCATCACTCTCTGCGGAATGTAGATACATTCCGATGACTGTCCCAAATAGGACGAAATGCGTATTATCCTGGATTCCACTGCTAGTCACTATCCACCAATTAAATTCTAATTACATGCCCAGACATCGTCGAAGCATTTGAAGAAGAAACCAACAGACATGTCAACCTGAGACCGAGCGCTTCAGTTCAATCAATCGATGGGAAAATCTAAAATTCAATTAAAATAGTCTCTCGTTTCATTCAGCACCGTCTTAACGGTGGTTGTACACAATTCGTTTGTTGAAAAGGAATGACGGAAGATGTGATGCACATTTTTTATGTGTATTCCGTAAAACTGATTGAAAAAGAAACACAAACAAACAAAAAAACTTGTACAGTGAGTTTTTCTTTTTAAGATCACAACACATGATCAATTATCATCATGATCACGATCATCATCATCATCAATTAGACGATATAACACAGATATCACAACATCGTCCGAAATAAAAATTACAAGAATATATAACCGTATTTAAAATAATACTGTTTACGTCGTTAATAATAGTAACGCCTTGATATCATTTTGGTTCACATTGCTGTAAAATGCTAACACAGAGAAAGAACGACAATTCCGTATCAATAAAGTAGACAAGAAGACATAAGATATGATTAAGGCCTATGGTAGTGAGTGATGGTACCATAACTCACACAGACGCGCGCACACACACACACACAAAATTTAAAGCAGTATTTCGTTGAACCACCTACTTAAATGGTTTAAAAGTAAGTAGTAGTTAGCTGATCATAGAAAAAAAACAGTTCAAGTTTAACCTTCACCGTTATTCATGCATAATTGAAAGCATAAAAATAAACTAGTGAAAGACCAATGAGAAAAAGGAATATAAGGGAGTACTTTTTACGTTTAAAATAAACGCTGAAGAAATTAATAAAACACAGAATGGATGTGTGTGTGTGCGTGTGTGAGTGTTAGAAAGGGGTATGTTGGAAGCAAAGATAAGTGGGGTTATTATCACATATTACACTTACAGACATTCACACAAAAGAGGAAAATACATCGACTTATTGTACCGTATACCTAAATTTTTAGAAAACAAAATGAGTAGTTGACTGTTTTGTTTTGGTTTGTTGTTTTTTCCACTTTCGTATTGTTTTCGGTTGACAAAATAAGTTTCTATGTGGACAATTGGAATATGTGGAAAACACTGAGTATTGTTTGTTCGTTTTTTGTTTGCTTTCTTAATTTTTTTTTGTGAAGTTTTTTTTTGCTGTTTTAGGAAGTTGTGATTACAAGAAATAAAAACACACCAATGTTATGAGTATATTCAAACTGAGATTCTCCATGAAGTATTTGTATGCTCAAACACCAACCATTTTTCTTGCAAGGAGTGGCTGAAAAAACGAGGAAGGGTATAAAGGAAGAAAACAAAAAGATTAAAAATTAAGTTATAGATTGGAAATTTTAATGAACAGTGAACTAATTAACTAACTTAACTGACTACCTTATGTGGTCTTTGTTTCATAACAAGTGAATATCATTCCACATGATTAAGCAAAGTGTATTCCTGGGCCTGTTCTTTATAGCTCATCTTGTAGATACTGAACATGAATTTTGATATTAGTCAACAAGGCATTTCAAGTTATCTATTGTTGAATTCTGATAAGGCCCTAATTTTGCTCTAAGAGGTCGATTGCTACGCAGAGCTAAAGGTGTTGTAGTCCACTTGAAGAAGCAGAATTTATGTGTTCAGAAGAAATTCGTTGAGACACTTTCCATTACCTTGGCGGACATTGATTTGATTGTGAAGTCTGATGATTTTCTCTCTCTCTCTTCCGTGAGCATTTCACAAGTTATTATTGTTCCCTTGGGCTCCGAGCGGTTTCAGCAACACATCTCCACTTTGTTCTATTCCCTGCGATCGTTTTCAGCTCATCCCGACCATTGCCAGCCAATAGGCCAAGGGAGGGATAATGGCTGTACGAACTTTTTTGAATGCATAGTTTAGGTTGAATAGTTCGAATGCCTATGGCCTCAGCTGTGTGCAGTAGACGAATACGAACTCTGTTTGAAAGATTCGGTGTCCTATTAAGACATAACCAACTAAAGACTTCTACACCAAATCTTGTTTATACTTTCAACCCCTTTCTTATCATCCCTTAATCTTCATTATAAACGTGTTTCATTTCCTTCCCTAACAATCTAACATTACTTAATCGGTTCATTTGTTTTTACTAGCCTTTATCGACTAATTCCACCTGAACATTTGTTTGTTTAATCATACTGTTTTTCATTATTCAGATTCATTCATGATTCACAGATTGACTCACATTTTCATCCTTATTATTGATAAAACCATTATTATTATTATTATTATGAACATTATTATTACTACTATTATGACTGTGCGTCGGTCGTATAGCGGTTAGGACGCTCGCCGACCATGCACATGGTCCGGGGTTCGATCTCCGGCCGACTCACTCCTTTACCTCGCTAAGCCAGAAATAATGCTAGTAAAGAGGAAAGGTTGGGCATGAGGCTAGCAACCCCATCCTGTAAAATTAAACACTGCTATAAGGAACTTCAAGACACTTGCTTGAGGTCCTATGTTCCACTGGGAACGTGAAGGAAAAAAACTATTATGACTAATTCCACAATTTATATTCACCATCGTATTATCCTATTGACAAAACACCATGATTCGTTTATATTTGAATTTTTAAGTGCTGGTTTGTAGGGATTTGATTGGTTTCAGGATTTCATCATGAGCTGACATTAGTTACAGAACCATTGGAAAACCTGGGAGTACTGGACAGCTGTTTCGTCCTAGTTTGGGGCTCTTCATCAGTACGCACCCACCGGGATTCGAACCCAGGACCTTCCGGTTACAAGGTGAGCTTGTATACCATTAAGCCACTGGGACCCGATCCAATGGTCCTTGAATTCTAACTTCTGCCAATTCACGACACAGCGCGACCGCTAGCCAATGTCTTCGGCGAGTATTTCTCCTCACACCCGACCCGCTGCACCCTACTGGTCACGACTTCCCACTGGAACCCAGGTAACTATCTACCTGAATAGGGCCAGTCGCCAGTGAGCATCTCATTGCTATTTAAGTGTTGTAACCTGAAGGTCCTGGGTTTGAATCCCGGTGGGTGCGTACTGATGAAGAGTCCCAAACTAGGACGAAACAGCTGTCCAGTACTCCCAGGTTTTCCAATGGTTCTCTAACTAATGTCAGCTCATGATAAAATTTGAATTTTTGTTTGTAAACTTATATATTTAAGAGTTAAGCCTGATGAGATCTAATTGAGAACAATATTGTTCGCTTAAATGTGTTGTTCTAAATTTTACTATGGGAATATTTTATATATTGTAATCATAGTAGATTTGTAGAGTGTGGGGTAAGAAAATTGACAAATAAGTCATTTCAAGGTTATAGAGGTGTCAGGTGAGTGAATGGCTAGTACAAAGTGGTCTGTGTTAAACAGGAGGTAGTAAGGCTGCAATCAGAGGTTCATAATGAAATAACAAATATGTGAAATGAAATGTATGCCTCCACCTGTTTCATTTCACATATTCGTTATTTCATTATGAACCTCTGATTGCAGCCTTACTACCTCCTGTTTAACACAGACCACTTTGTACTAGCCATTCACTCACCTGACACCTCTATAACCTTGAAATGACTTACTTGTCAATTTTCTTACCCCACACTCTACAAATCTATTATGAATAATCACCACCATTGTCTCCCATTTTACAATATTTTAATAACCGATTTCAGCCCGAAGCATGTTTGTTACACAAATACGACTATTTATTTTGATCAATATATGATATGCCTTTCCTGAAGCCAGTGCATTTTTTATTCTTTACAGGATGAAGTGGCCTAGTATTTTGCTTGATATGGACAAGAGCATAATTACACGCACAGGTCTTGTTGAGGCCTAAGTCGTTGTTTCTCTTCGGTAGTTTGACAAGGTAGATTTTCTTCCAATCAGTAGGTACCTTTCCTTTCTTCTAAAACTTTGCACAGTAATGGCGTCAGCATATCTGCTACGATCTCTGGGTTCGTCTTACTTGTCACATCAATTTTCTGTTTGATTTTATCTGATATTCAATTCAGCGCTTTATTTTTTATACGTATTATTACTTTTCCCTACTTCTGAACTGTGATTCCGCTGATTTTAACAACTCTACATTATTTAAATATATATATATATATATATATATATATCAGTGTTGAACATATCGATCAATTTTTGAACATTATCTATGGATATATAACTGTATAGTCAGATTAAGAGCAACTTATCATAAAGAATACTCTTTTCTCCAGTGTTTTGTCTTTCTTTTGTCTTCTAAATATTCAAATGGAAATGGATTGTTCTTTATAGTGGAAAAAAATGGTATAACGTTATATTGTGGTGAGAGCTGACTGCTAGCCAAATTGGTAGACAGTAATTTACGTCAATGTTTATGTCCCTAATATTGGTCGTGAGAAGAATGAGAACAAAGACTCATTCAAAAACCAACCACAGCAAATTTTGCGTAGGCGGATACAGTTAGCATACAGATGATGTGATATTCAAGAAAGTCACAAAGAGATGCAATGTTAACTTTCAGTGAGAAACAACCAATCAGAAGACTGTGTTTTTCTGCTAACAATAATCTGCATTAATGTACATGAAAATCTATAAATATGTGTTGATTTCCTTAATAAATGATATGTTGTCTGGTCCTTGTCTTCTGTTGTTACAATATGTTACCAGTTGTTAAATAACTTGGTTGCCGTGTACAATAAATAAGTAAATATTTGTTACAGAACCACTGGAAAATGTGGGAGTACTGAAAAACTGCTTCGTCATAGTTTCGGTCTCCTCAGTAGTACACACCCACGGAAGGGTTCGGACTCAGGATCTTCCGTTTACAAGGTGAGCTCGAGCTCAAATCCCTGCAAATCAACACTTGATAATTGATACGATGCTCACTAGCGACTGGCTGTATATAGGATGATATTTGAAGTTCTAGTGTAGCCGGGCACACCAAGTCTGGCGAGAGAACACTTACTCGCCTATAACAGTGGATACAGGTTGTGCTGTATATATTACAAATTTGCAGAAGCTGAAATCCATGGGATGGTCATGGGATCGGGTCTCAGTGTCTGAATGGTCAATGAGTTCACATAGTGAAGGGTATATCCTGGTTTCGAATGGTAGTAGGTGCATACTGATGAAGAGTTCAGTGCTCTCAGGTTTTTCTTTGGTTCTGTAACTGATGTCAACTCATAGACAAACTTGTATTCACATGGTAATCAAGTATTCAATTGTTGTAGGGCTCTATGATCAAATCTATAACATAAGGCATAATTTCATTTGATTAAACCACATATTGTCAACTATTGGTTTTGTAGGGAATGTTGTTTGATTGGTTGGAGGATTTGATCATCAGCTGACGTCAGTTAGAGACGTAATGACAGAAGACAAGAACCGGTCAACAGATCGTTTATTGAGAAAATCAACAGATATTTATAGATTTTTATGTATATTATTATTCGTTATTGTTAGCAGAGAGGTAACGTCTTCTGATTGGTTGTTTTCTCACTGAAAGTTGTTCTGTCATCATTTTGTGTTTGTTTCTTATAGAGTCAGGCCATATATCTGAGAATCGTATCCGCCCACGCAATCTGTTGTGATTGGTTGTCAAGTTCCTTAAGGTTAGTCTTTGTTCTTGTTTTTTTCTCATGACCACGATTCGGGACGTAAACATTGACGTAAATTGCTGTTTGTCACTTCTGCTAGCAGACATCTCTCACCACAGAGAACCATTGGAAAACCTGAAGGGAGTACTGGACAGCTTTTTCGTCCTAGTTTGGGGCTCTTCATGAGTATGCTAAATGCTCTGCAAGCTCGCTGGCTTTGTAACCAGAAGGTCCCGGGTTCAAACCCCGTGGTGGGTGCGTACTGATGAAGAGTCCCAAACTAGGCCGATGAAACAGCTGTCCAGTACTCCTTACAGGTTTTTCAATGTTTCTCTAAATGATATTTTGGTGAGAGCAATTTACGTCAATGTTTACATCCCAAATCTTGGTCATGAGAAAAAATGAGAACAAAGACTTTGCGTGGGCGGATAAAGTTCGTAGACATATGGGGTGATTTTCAAAGAAACGGTCACTAAGGGATAGTAGAGTAATTTTCAGCAAGAAAACAACCAGTCAGAAGACGCTGTTTCTCCTATAATAATAACGAATAATAATGTACATAAAGATCCATGAATACCTGTTGATTTTCTCACTAAACAATCTGTTTCCTGGACCTTGTTCTCTGTCGTTACAATGTCAACTCATGATGTAATTCTCCAAGCAATTAAACCATGCATAACTCTAACTGACAATAAAAAAGGCAACTTCTATAGTTGTTTAACTTCACTCCTTTTTTTTCAGACTGTTGCAGAAATCAATCAAAAAAGTAATAAAACACTTAATCAAATGAGAGGAAAAGAAACACTTACAGGTAATGCATAGATGAAAAGTACTACCAATAAGCCAAGAATCACAGCAATCAATAATCCGATCAGTATCCATTTCATTTTTTTCCAAATAATAAATTTGAATGTCTTCCATGGTGATGTAAACCAAAGGAAGGAGGTTTCTGGACGTCTAAAAATAAGGAAACAAAAAAGAAACTTAAACAACGTAGTAGTAAATGAGATAATCGTATTCAGTAACCTTGTATATCTGTATTTCCCTGTGAAGCTTTTAACTATTCTTAGCGTGCCAAGTTGTCATGTATTTTTATTACCACACTTAGCTTTGGAAGCGAGATTCTGGTGAATACACTTTTCAAAGGTGTAAGATATCTTACCAGAGAGAAAAGAATGAGAAGTTCGGCAAAGATTCTTTATTTTTGTGCAGCAATTTCATTTTCAAATACAGCTGCACTATGGACATTTATACATACATAAGTCTTTTTTATATTTATTCCTTCACGTTCCCAGTAGAACATAGGGCGGCTTCAAACTAGAGGCTTGAAGTTTCTGTGTAGCAGAGGTGTTGATTTTTACAGGATGGGGTTGCTAGTCTCATGTCCAGTCCTCCCTCTTTAGCAGTTTAGTTACTGGCTTAGCAAGGTAAAGTAGTGCGTCGACTGAAAATCAAACGCCGGACCGAACATAGATACGATTGCTATTTAACTTCATATGGTTCAAGGTCATAATAATTGTCAGCTCAAAATGAAATTTTGAATATGTGAATATAGATTACAAGAGAGTTAGAGACAAGATTAAATAGGATTAGAGAATAGTTTTTTTTCTTAAGGACTAAAGGTGTGAATGAGATGAGAGTAGGAATGGTATTTTAAAGAAATGAAGATGAAACTAGAAGAGAGAAAGGAAAATGAAAGGGGAGAAGAAACGAGACCTAAGGAGACAGATTGAACTAAATCCATGGTAAATGTAGAGGTTGAACCAGTTCCTTTTGAACACACAGTTCTGTTGTTTTTTCCGATGCATCTACCTTTGGTTGATTTTTGTTTACTTTGTAAATGACTCTGAATGACGAGTCAGTTGATATGCTGTCACAGGTGTTGACGAGATGTTTAAGTATGGCATTCCTGATTGAACCAGTACCTGACTTCTCTTTGGAGCCATGCTGGGTAGTGTTCTCTGACCCTCAAAGAACGACTTATATACCTAGCTCCACACGACCAGGTGAACTGATATATGCACATTGAAGTGGTTATATGCGGAAGTCTGTCCTTCACCTTGCTTCAAAGTAGTAGCGGCAGGAGAACATCACTCTTAGATTCATTGAAGGAAATGTCTTCTTTAAGGAACTAAAGATTCTTCTTTTAAGGATATCCACTGCTAGGTCTCCCTTGGATTCCAGATTCAAATATAGTGTTTTCTTTGGCAATGAATTTGACTCTTCTCTTTTTGGTTTTGGTTTTATGTTCTTCTCCACGAAACGCGTTGGGTATCCACTTTGATCCAGGAGCTCTTCTTCTAGACAGTCACCACTGCAAATTCTTCTGGTACTGTAGGCTAGCGGGATGATGACAGCTATATTTCGACTTGTAGGTATCCAGCTGTCGAAGTCTGTCAGTCGGCCATACAATGATGGTTTTCAGTAGATAGATCTTTTCAGAGTTCTTTTATCTCTTCCCGTCGATTCGACATCCAGAAATAGAGTCCTTAATTGATTTGATTCTTACTTATGCTAAAATTGCTAGGCTAGAAAATGTAGTATTATAAACTAAATAAACAAGTTAGCTATCGATATTATGATGTGGTTGATCCTTTTTCAATCATATGGGCAAAATTTGATTGGACGTTAGTTACTTAGTAGTGTAATGTGTCTAAGGCTTCCCGCCAATCGCCTCTAACCATCTAGTACAAAAATTTGAGCTTAATATAAGTGTCTAATATGAAATCTTTAATCTAGCATTGGTGGTATAGCGGTTAGGACGCTCACTGACCGCGCACATGGTCCGGAGTTCGATCCCCAGACGACGCACTCCTCTACCCCCCGCTAAGCCAGAAATAATGCTGGTAAAGAGGAAAGGTTGGGCATGAGGCTAGCAACCCCATCTTGTAAAATTAAACACTGCTACAGAAACTTCAAGCCACTTGCTTGAGGCCCTATGTTCCACTGGGGAACGTGAAGGAAAAAGAAATCCAGCAACAGAATACTTGCCATTTAACGTACTTCTAAACCTCGCCTAATTTTTAGCGGGTAGTAAACCCAGAAAAGAAGGAGGGATACTCATGAACTATCAACCTAACTATGTCTGTCTGTCTGTCTGTTTTCGACATAGAACTTTGCACAAATGTGCGGAAGTTCAAGTCGCCACATTCCGTGTAGCACGCGAAGCAAGAGAAGAAAGTACAAGAAAAGCATAATAGAAACAGTGAGCAGAGGTGTGAGACAAAGGAGTAATAAAGAAATACAAAACAGTTTCATTGAAGATCATAAGTCACAGGGAGTGGATGCATCTGCGCCACTGAGAACGATTTTGAGCCATGTCACCAATTGTTTCCAACCATAGATTTTTACCGTCCCGAGGACCCCAGCCTGGAAGTCTACACCTTCCTACGTGGCTTAGACCAACTGTTGTGGATTTCATTGACTGATGCCAAGTTTTTGTTTGACCGCCGCTAGCTTTTTTCCAGCCTGACCCTATATCCGCTAACATTGCTCGTCGAGGGAGGCGATGGCTTGGCATACGTAACACATGTCCTAACCATCTCAGTCTTTGTAGCTTCACGACTTCGTCGATTGATTTCCCCTGTTTACCTAGAACTCTACGCCTAACCTCCATGTTGCTCACCTTATTATGCCACTTTACACGGGAAATAGAACGCAGGCACCTATGATCAAAGACAGCTAGTCTTTTCATGTCTTCCACTCTCAGTGGCCAGGTCTCACAACCATAAAGGAGGACGGAGCGGACTGATGAGCAGTACACCCGCCCTTTGGTCGATAGTCGAACATCTCGTCTACGCCAGAGTCGGCGTAAACTAACAAATGCGAAACGAGCCCCTTGTATTCGTGCTGAGATTTCGTCAGAGATCAGCCCGTTGGGGCTGATGGTACTTCCCAAATAAGTGAAGCGGTCAACGTGCTCTACCACTTCACTTCCTATTTTTAAACTAGGCGTCGATGTAGTCCAGTCCTGTAACATCATCTTGCATTTGGCGGGAGCGAATCGCATGCCAAACATTCGTAGATTGCGGCTCAAGGTGTTTAGAAGACTCTGCATTTCGTCAGCGTCTTCGCCTAGAAGGACTATATCGTCTGCATATTCCAAGTCAACGAGATTATTCCCGGTAGCAAGTCAATCCCTGAGTCGCTGAAGTCACCTAGGGTTAAGTCCATTAACACATCTATGATGAAGTTGAATAGAAAAGGAGATAATGGGCATCCTTGACGGACACCACTGGTCGTCATCAGTTCAGATGACAGCTCGCCGTAAGCCCTCACCTGGCTGTATGAGTACGAATAGAGTGCCTTAATCAGTGCAATATATTTTCTTGGAATTCCCTTTACAGCCAAGCATCTCCAGAGAACTTCCCGATCGACAGAGTCGAATGCTGCCTTTAGGTCAAGAAATATAATGACTGTTGGACGCCGGTAGGAATGCCTATGTTCTAGAATCTGTCGGAGGGTGAAGATATGATCAATACACCCTCTTCCTGGTCTAAAGCCTGCCTGGCTCTCTCGTGTTTGTGCTTCCCGAGCACCACTCAGTCTACGCATGATTATTGAGCCTAAGACTTTAGATACTATATTAGTCAAGCTAATCCCTCTGTGATTATCACAGGAAGACTTGTCTCCCTTCTTGTATATGGGGATAATCAGTGACTTACACCAACCCGATGGGACTTCTTCTGATTCCCAGACGCTGCCTAGTACCTCAGTTAATCCGGACAGTAAGCTGTCTCCACCGTACTTAAATACCTCTGGAGTCATTCCATCAGGTCCCGCTGCTTTGCCTAGTTTCAGATTGGTGACAGCTTTAGTAACCTCAGTTAGTGACGGAGGACCTGTGTCTATATCCCATTCAGGGAGGTGTTGGATGCTCGGAAGGTTGAGCGTGGCTGTGGGCAAATTAAACTGCTCCTCATAATGCTCTTTCCAACGATCCAGTCGTCTATCCTGGGAGCTAATTATAGTGCCATTTTTTTCCGAGATTGTCTCACTAATGATTTGTCTTCTCCCACCCGTTTCCCTGATGAGTCCAAAGAGTTGCCTGGTGTTGCCTATCCTCGAAGCTTTCTCCATCTCTTTGGCTTTTGTCGCCCACCACTGTTCACGGTCCTTGCGGAGACTTTTCGTAAGTTTCCTCTTGTGCAGCTTTCGCTCCTCATTGAATTCGGAGCTCGCCGGAATAAGTCTTCTAGCATCTATCAGTTCGGATGAGGCGGTGGAGATCCAGTGGTTTTTACTCACCTTTGGGTTTACCTTATTCACAGCTTTTACAGCTGTATCTATGGCTGCCTGGATATTTTTCCAAGCTTCTTCAGGGTGAGCACAGCTGTCGAACACAGATATGTGTTTAGCTAGTTCTTCCTGAAATACGGATTTAGTTTCCTGATCGAGCTGGGGACGTGATGGTTTTACCGCCAGCTGTTTCCTACGTCCGTTCAGTCGTAAGCACACCCGAGCGCGGACCAGTGCATGGTCGGTATCTACGCACGTGTTCCAGAAGGAGCGACAATCTCCTACCGACCCACGCCAACGATAGCTTATTGCTATGTGGTCTATTTGTGTCCAGCGTTGGTTTGATGAAGGGGGTCTCCAAGTCAAACAGTGTCTCTCCTTGTGTTTAAAGTTAGTGCTTACAAGAAACAAATGATTATCAGAGCAGAACTGTAGGAGACGGTCACCGTTGTCGGTTCGCTGGCACGGACTCCATAGGTGCCACCGACATCCTTCTCAGATTGACACAATTTCCCTACTTGAGCGTTAAAGTCACCAGCTAGAACGACTATGTCTGAGCGTTTAGCCTTTCCACCAAACTAGACAGCTTTTGGTAGAACTCATCCTTCGTTTCATCTGAACTGCAGTCAGTGGGGGCGTAGGCGGAGATTACGAAAAGGCATCGGCGAGTAGTGCAGTCCTTCCTCCTTCTTACTGATCCGTTCAGGCGGACAGCACACATTCGGCTATCTACCGGGATCCAGTCAAGCAATGTCTTTTCTGCCCTAGTACTCAAAGCTATCCCTACGCCAGCTAATCCTCGTGAACTAGCTGTGGCATCTCCTGACACCCTCAAGGTGAATTTTGCAGATTCAACCTGTTGGCCAGGTGGGGTTAGGTGAATAACCACACTTGGGTCTTGTATGCGTGTTTCTGAAACACAGCATACATCAATGGCTCGTGATGCCAGGGTCTTGGCTAGTGATGCTTGTTGTCCTATTTGGCAAAGTGTCCTAACATTAAGAGCTCCTATATGAAATTGGTGGCGCGGCTTTAAGAGGCTGTCGGTGGTGGTTTTTTGGCTTCCATCGTTTTTAGTGGACGCAGAGTGGAGAGGAAGTGAAGAGCTATCAAGTCGAGGAGTTGCATCAGTGAAAATGATATGTGAAAATAATACTCCTACTACTAGGATATGAAGCCCTGTGTTGTGCTCAGAACTCATGATATGAAAAGGATAAATGTTTGATATAGTTACTCGGATGGCTTTTGTAATCATCCGTTATTAGAGTGATCTGAGGAGGGGGAGTGAATCGGATGGTTGTTATGATTTGGAGTGAAAACATCAAGGTATAATGATAATACGCATCACACTAGCTATTTATATCACATGATAGTGTATGAAGTTAAGACTGTGGGCGCATTTAGCAGTCACACAGTCTGGAACTAAGCGGTCTGTTTTTGAAAGATATAACATAATATAGTCAATATCAGGTCTTAATAGAGTTTTATTGAATTCATATTCATTAACGGTGAAGTAAAATCGGTTAATAAACTGTTAAAAACGAAATGATACTGAACACATTAGAGTCGTGTGGGGTGACTCCTCCCTACCCATATCTTGTGGTCTACATGTGATCATACAACCATACGTCTTTATTATATTGAATTAAATTAATGACGTCAGTGTATTCCAACTTCAGCTAATTCCTGTACAGAAAATGTTTTCAGATTTCCCCTACAGTAAATACAAGTAAACTATTCAGTCAAGACTTTTACACTAAAACTACTGGAGTAACAAGTAAACAGATTGGTTCACTAACTAAACTTTCCATTGCAACTCAATTACCCAAAATACATGTTGTATATTGAAGGCTGTATGTACTATTTTGTTATTATTATTGTTCCCTTGTGTTCCGAGTGGAATATACGGCTTCAACAACACATCTCCACTTTGTTCTGTTTCCTGCCTTCCTCTTCAGCTTGGTCCACCATTGCCTACAATCTCTCTCATTTCTACCTCACATGATCTCGACCATGTTACCCTCACACTGACGACCCACTCGTCGCTTCCCATTCGGATTACACTCGAAGGCCTGGCGTGAGATGTCGTTCGGTGGCCTCCTCAACTTATGCCCAATCTATCCCCATTTTCTCTTACATATTTGTTGAACGATCAGCTCTTGGTTGGTTTGTTCTCAGAGTTTCTTGTTGCTGATTCTTTCTCACTGGCCATCTGATCTTTAGTATGGATCCAGCCAACGAAAGAGACAGCTGTTGATAAAAGTCTACAGCAGGTTGTTGAAAATGCTTTTCATGACGGATACGTCAAGTTTCTGACTGGTGTAGAAGAACTGACTGACTTCACATTTATGTTGAAAATCTGAATCTTGTTTCTGACGCTGGTTGCGTTAGTGCAGAAGATTTTCAAACTGGTTTTACGCTGATGGAGGATTATCTCGCTTTTTGGATTCTGAGTGGCTGGCTTTGGCTTCTTCATTCGTCCCGCCTGTAGTTGAAACGATACTTCCCTAGATAAGTGGGAGGTAACCTCCGTTAAATGTCTCCCGTTGATGGTGATTAGTGCCAGTTGTTGATGCTGTTGGCCGGCTATCTTCACTACCTCCGTTTTCTCTCTATTCGCCTGCAGCCCTGTTCTCGCTGCCTCTTCAGCCAGTTTGTTGGTTTTTGCCGGCTTGTGTGACGTTAGACATATATCATCTGCGAAATCTAGATCTTCTAGAGTCCTCTTATCAGTGGTTCAGTATGCTCCTGTCTCCTCGCTACCGACAGTCTGATGCATAATCCAGTCCACCACGATTAAGAATATCAGCGGTGGTAATAGGCAGCTAGCTTATTCTACTCCTGTATGCATTTCGAACACCTCGCTGACCTTCTCGTTGTGGATTACATGACACGTGGTATTGTCATATAGCTGTTGAATGAGGTTGATAAAGACTTTGGCACTGCACGCTGTAGTGTTGAAGTGGTTTCTAAATTATTTCTCGGTCTATGCTGTCGAAGGCCTTCTCGAAGTTAATGAAATTGAGGTAGAGGTTTGACTGCCATAGTATGCTTTGTTCCATGATGTCAATGCGTAAAGTTGCGATTTGATCAGCACATGATTTGCCTTTTCTGACTCCAGCTTGTTCCGCTGTGACTGGCGGAGTTCTGTATCCAGTACATCCCTTATTCTCTTGAGGATGATGCGAGTTGATATTTTATTTGGCTGTAAGGCAAGCTCATTAGCTGACGGCTGATGATACTACTCATTTACCTAAAGTGAAATAAGCGAGGCGGGACATGAACCTGAAACCTACTGACTAAATCTTGATTGTTGAACCCAAGGAAACATACTTCCACTCAGTGATGGAATCGAATACTAAGTGTGTTTGTTATTGGATTTTGACTATTCATTCATTCATTCAACTAGATTGATGACAAATGTAACTAGTGACACTGACTAAATCCTAGCAGTTAGCTTACGATGTGGTCACCAATCTAAGAGATTCAGTATTATGATGAACTTTGTGAACTAATGTCAGTTGACTGAAGTTGGTCATAGACCTAGTCTTCGTGCTTATTGATACTTATAAGTAAGGTCAATCTGCGACCCCAGTGACCGATAAATACAATCAATGGCAGTCCTGTAGAGTGTCTGTCATGGAACTGCAAAGCCTAGTGATAATATTCTTGACTGTAGCATTGAATGATACTGGTTCTAATCTCTAAACGGGGCGTTAGTTTTCTCACAATTATTTACAAAGTAGGTGTGTGCATTATGCCGAAGAAAATAACACAAATCGAGGTATTTGAGAAATTATATCATGGATACATTCAGATAAACCAATAAGAAGGCGTAATTTGTCTGAACCGTGTGTTACATCCCACTGTATTCACCAGTTTGAATGTTCGTGTGGACACACATATATAGGGAGGACTCACCGATCTCTACAAGTAAGGGTTAGCTTCAGAGCATGTTCCTAAATGGCTCCAGAAGCAAATAGAATCTTCAGAACCCATTAATGACGTGAACAGGAGAGCTAGCTTCTCTGTTGCGAAACATATTGTAGAGACAGGACATAAAAATGACATTAACACATTTTTTAAACCTATCTATAAAACGTGTTTAGGGTGGATACTAAAGTTTGTGGAAGCCCTAGCTGGCAATTAGATAGTTTAAACCACCTTTATGCGTTCAAAGCAACAATTCGCCATCACATCAAACCTTTCTTGGTAAACTGTGTTTTGATACCAGCCATGGTAAATGTACTATTACCTCTGTTACTTGGTTTAGTGATCTTCTTTGTTATTTTGACCTTCAATATGTCCTTTTAACTCGACCTAAGTCTCTTTCTCACCTCTTACCTCTTTATTAATTTCATATATATTTCTATGACAAGTCCGTGTGTGATCAGACTGTTCGAAGGAAAAAGCAACAAGAAATTTTGGTGATAGACCAATTAGGAGCTTAATTGTCCAGAAATACGTAGAAGAAAATGGGTACGGATTGGGCACCCATTAAAGAGACTGTCGAATGACGACATACGCCAGGCGATCGCTCGAGTTTAACTCAGAAGGGAAATGATGAGTTGTGCAAAGGTGCAAGACCGATATCTTGAGGAGATTGTGCGAGAGTGAGATCAGACCTTTGGCAATGGTTGGGGCCATCTACAGAGTACCTCAGAGAATTTGATAAAGTGGAGGTGCGTCGTTGAATCACAGTGTGGTCCAATCAGAACAACAACGACTTACTTTGGTGGTTCTAAATGAGGATTTTCATTTGGATCTTCACGTGCTTTACCAGCTGGTCGAAGTTCAGCCTCTCCTTTTGTTACCAATTCCATTTCCATCTCAATTTTACCCTGAATTTATAAAAGTGAAGACAAAAACAAAACACAATAAATTTGTTACTGTTGCTGGTATCATTTACATTTTATGCGACTATTTACAGTACTATTAAATCAAATTGTAATTGTGTACTAATACAGGGGAAATCAGTCAGTTAATATAAAAATCACTTCATTCTTATAAGAATAGAACTTATGCACTGTGGTAGAGTATATTTCCATTATGGGTAAAATTTATTTTGATAAAGTCTAACACAGTGTTGTACAGTAATATTTACTGATGACCACGTTTCGAGCACAATTTATTACTGCTCATAATCATATCAAGACACTATTCACACAACTTTCTAACTTCGTTTATATAATTCCATCACTATTTTTCAACGCTTTATTTGATTGGTAGTAGTATTTTCCATATTTCCGGTATGAATTATGAGTCAATCCTATTGTACGTGTTGGTTATAGATTCTATGAACAAGGGTTCAGTAGTCAACCACCTATCTCTCCACCTACCTACATTACTTTTTAGAATTTTAACCATTTTCTACTCTATTGTGCGCGCAATTGCTGAGCTTTTTTGTAAATTACTTATCTTCGTGGGGTCAACTATTCCAGTCTTAGCTAAATTCTTATCTTCCGACAGTATGACTATCACCGATCTACTGGTTTGACGCATGTAGTTGACCTGACAGCAATTGCAACTGGGTCCCTCAACCTACAGAGCTTGTCTTACCTGAGTAAGAAAAGCCACTCTAATTCTTGATTTGTTGAAAATCCTACATAGGGTCTCAGGTGTCCTGACCTTATATAGTATAACTGGAGATGCCTTATATTCTTTATTTATTTATGTTTTCATTATTAGTTCCCTCATTATTTTTTATTTTACTTTTGACTCTTTGATCTACCTAATGAATTTTATAGGATAGTTATTTGATACCAACGCTTCTTCAGTTTGTTTTATTTCATCATTTAGGTCTTTTCTTGTGCTACTTAGTGCTACTGCTCGGTTTGTTAATTACTTAACTAAGCTAGTCTTTACAGACAACCTGATGAGATGAATTAAAGTCTAAATATTTATTAGGATGCGTTGGTTTTTTATAAACGCTAGTGTGTAGTTTACCTTCTTCTATTCATTTTATTTTGCAATCTAACATAGCTAATTCTCCCTGTTCATTTTCCAATTCAAATGTGAATTTTATTCCCTCTACTAGTGATTTTATACTGGTGGATAAGCTAGAGATACGTTCTGTTTATAACACTGTGAAAGTGTCATCCACATATCTCCACAATATTTTGGAGTAGGATTAAATGTGTTAAGGGGAGTATTTTCCCAGCTATCCAGAAATACATCTGCTACGGTAGGGGATATTTGTGATCCCATCGCTACACCTTCTGTTTGCCCTGGAATTCAAAGATAGTAGATGTGAGGCATAAGTGAATTCCTAAAATAATTTCTTCAATGGGCACCTTTGTCCTATAAGTGAGCTCAGGATCTGCAAAAGACTAGTTATATAAAAAACTAACCATTGTTTCATCATTCTCTAGTTGAATGTCACTTAATATAGAAGTAACAGAGAATGATCTGTAAAACTTTTGTAATTTACAAACATAAGCACACAGAGAAATACCTTTCTCTGTGTTGAAAAAAATAAAACAACTTACAGTAAGTAGAGGTGTACCGCTTTCTTCATTAATAAATGGCCAAAATCCATTCAATCGTTTACATTCAAATAAATTCACCATTTTGGTTTCATTCCCTACCGATTGTAACATATTCAGCGCACATTTACTACGTGATTTAGCCGGACTAGGCAAATTTGACAGATTTAATTCTAATGTGCCTAAAAAGTCATCTGGTGAGAAAAGATCATTATCCCAGATTTGTAAAACTAATTGTGGTCGTACACGTTGTTCAGTAACATCCATTGACCAAAAATGTTCCTTACGCTTAATAACTATATTATTTTCAGCTGGTAGATAGAAAAATGGAAATACAAAACGCCAATTGAAATTTCCTTCACCATTCAATGATCGATAATGAACATCAGTTTTTTGACGATCATCTAAACCAGCTATCCATCCCTGAAAAAAATAAAAAGCAGTTTTATACTACTTGTAAGTAACTTGAATAGAATCAGTAAAATATTTGACAATTAATGATTAATTGACTACTAGTGGTGGAGAATTCGATCTTGTTCAAACGCTGGTAGTGGTGTCGACGTCATAGCCTATATTTCTAATGGATAGGATCTAGAAGTTATCCTGCTGGAAGCACCAAGAATGTCCTAGGTAGCATTTGGTTATACCACTTACTTTTATCAGAATCGCTTACTGCAGTTAAAGAAAGTTAGAAACAAACTTCAAAGAAATCAAATCCCTACAAACTAACTCTCGAAAATCAATCTGATTTCCACCAATGGCTGCCTACAAGACGAGGTTATCTGAAGTTTTAGTAATAAGTCATGACAGACTGGGTCTACTAGGTCGGTTGTTCTCTGAAGAGAATTGCTGGCAGTCGTACCAAAATAGCGGATTGACAGAAATTAAAAATCATGGTCCATTGGATTCCAGCTCAAATGACTGAGTGGTTAACGAGCTCATCTCGTATTCTGAAGGTTCTAGGTTCAACCCTGTGATCAATCCATTATCAAACTTGAAACTAGTCAGATATCTACAACCGAACTCTTGAGAAATAAGAAACTATTTCAGGATTTCATCATGAGCTGACATTAGTAAGAGAACCATTGGAAAACCTGGGAGTACTGGACAGCTATTTCGTCCTAGTTTGGGACTCTTCATCAGTACGCACCCACCGGGATATTTCTTTTCAGAGTATTATGAAGATAAGATTTCTTGGGTTGTTTGAAAGCTGAAGTGTTACCAATAGGCTGCATGATATGGCGGATAAATCATGTCTATATACCGAAAGCAGGAATTTATGTTATGTCAAGAATGTCAAGTAATTCTCTTGGCTAAACAACCTAATCTTCTGTACTTAGATAGGAAGTAGAACGTTTAAACATAAACCTTAGGCTAGATGAAGAAGGAGGTATAATAGTTTATCATAGTATTCCTTATAAAATATAAATGATAACGTGTGTTTCACATAGCTCTAAAATATTATGTCATTCGGTCAAGTTTTCTTTCAGAAAACTGTATTCAAGTCATCTGAATAGATCAGTTTTGGCAACTTATTTTGACGTAGATTCATAGCTAGGAGAAGTTAGACTCTGAATAACCAAAAGCACTTGCTATCTGGCCAGTGGGTGTTATTCATACACTAACATAAATTTAAGTAGTATAAATACACATATGATATATTTGAAATTACATTTTCAAATCAAAGAATCTAGTGTACACTGTTGAACATGCTGCTCTTGATAATAAGGTTACTTGAAAGTCATGATGAAATAGTGAAAGACCCTTCATAGTTGAGCGATATAAATACATACTTGAAAACTGTCAGTGACAATAATAATATTGTAGGTTTTGTAAAGACATGCGTTAATTTCACTGTTGTTTTTTTTGTCACAGACTAATATAAGTGACAGAATCATTGAAAAACCCAAGAGTGCTTGCTGGACAGCTGTTTCGTCAGTGAAGCAGTGAACACCCACAATACCACTAAGGATCTAATTTGATACCTTCAGGTTACATGTTTAACTCGTTGAATATTCAGCTATTTCGACTGGAGTTTAATGACCAACTTGTCAAGGTGAATTTGATGCGCATAGACGACAACGGTTGGCGATAGGGCTATGTCACGAATTGGCAAATGTTGAATTCATCGCTCGACTGCGTGAATGCAGATGACCGGACTGTTTCGCTTCCCGTTAAGTCTGAGTCAGCCTGTTTCAAATTAAATAACTTCCTGTCGGACATCAGTCAGTGGTCTAAACTAAATGGCTTCATGCTGAATCCCTCAAAATGTCAGACCACTTACTTCTCCTTTAGGCACGAACGAGATCTACAAACACTAGTAAGTAATCATGAAGTCTGTAGCATTGAGGGGACTAAAATTGAAACTAAGTCTAATGCAAAATGCCTCGGTCTAGTTCTATCTCCCGACTTTACTTGGTTATCTCATATCCTAATGATTTCTAAGAAAGTGTTTCGTCTAACCTACTTTATTAAAAATCTCAGACTATCTGGAATCACCCAGTCTCTACTTTCACAATTTGTCAGCTCTTGTATCTTACCTATTCTACTTTACTGTTCCCCATTAGTCTTTCCTGGGCTACTGAAAAAGGACTATACTATCCTGAGAAGGATGTTGAAGGTAGTTAGTAGGACTAGTGGTTTGAAACTCAGTCAGCTTGTCACTACATTAGTAGACAGGCATCTGAATACATGCGCAAAAATGGTCTAAAACCCTACTCTCTGACCCCCAACACCCCCTCTATTCCCAACTCTCTCCTTGTATCTCATTGGGTAGAACCAGAAATCAGTATCAAATAATATATGCTCGTACAACCAAGTACAGGAACTCAACGATACCATATTTGGCCCGTGTTCTAAATGACAGACAATGTTAAGCGCGAAACCTATGAATTGCTTTGTTGTTAATAACATAATTTTGGCTCTTTTATTTCTCTCTTATTTGCATTCTATAGTGAACACCTTCTTAAACATACTCAGCTACCTAATTTATTAACATTGGCTTACGTTTTTGTACTTTATTCTATTCCTTCTTTTGTGTATCCGCTGGTTCCGACTATATTAGCACTATGAGTATTAAAAAACTGTTCTGTCATTATTCATCATGTAATATTAGTTTTGTGATTGTTTTTTTTGTGCGGCAATATTAACTGGCAATCTTGGTTGTGAACGCCATTATCACCATCTTAAAATTTTGTATTATGCAGGATTACTCAAACTACCACTGCAAACACCATATTAGAGCTGATAATAAAAACCCTGAAATGTTTATTTTATGATTGTTTAGTGTTGTCCAATCAAATTAAGTGATCATCTTGGCGATAAAATTCTTAAATATAATTTCATAACTTCTTGTATGATTATAGCTTTACTGTTCACCACGCATAAACATATCATAGCTCACACTACCCAATACTGAGATATTATTTATTATGTTGTTTATTTTCCACTCTACTTTTTGGTATTTTTTCGCATTTTTTTGTTGTTATTTTTGCGTTTTTGTTGTTGTTGTTTTTATATTTATTTTTTGAAATACTCCTTTTTAAATGTTTGATAAAATTAGATGCATTATTGTAGATAAGTGCTGAAAATTCCACACCGTACCACTAGTATTGTTTCTGGAATAAAGCAAATTATTATTATTATTATTAAAAAAATGGTCAACGAGCTGGTTTCGTAACATGTAGATCCAAGGTTCTATCCCTCATAGAGGTGGAGTAGATGCATGCTCACTGTTGAAGAGTCACAAACTAGGACGAAGTAATAATCATAATATTAGTAGTAATAAAAAAAAAGCTGTATTCAACTGAATTATTTACCTTTACATAGATATCAGACATTCGTTCACCAGTTATAGATTTCTCATCTAATACAACATCGAATGTATTCCATACAACTAAGCGTAATACATATTCATTTGGTTGTCTTGGTGAAATATCAAACGGTGGACCAGGGTCACCCAATACAGTGGGAAAGATATCAACCCACATTTGTAATTTACCCTGGAATAAATAAATAAATAATAATAAAATAAAGTGAATTACTCAACCAACTAAATAAATGAATAAATAACTCTCAACATTAGAATGAATGAAACTGGATAATTCTGGTGTTATTGAGTGGCTGGGCAAATCGATCACTTTTCAAAAAGACGAAATTTATTTTAAGGACAAACAAAATCTATTCACAGAGCTATTCTATCTCATCTTGTGGATACAGAACACAAGATTGATGTTAACCAGGCTTTCAGGGTTATTTAACGCATACCTACGAATCTCAATTTTGCCTTAAGAGTTCGACTACTAAATATTTCTGAGGTTGTTGGGATCCATATTAACAAGCCTAATTTGTGCATCCAAAAGAAGTTAGTTCAGGCATTATCCTTACCTTGACTATCTAGGTTTGAATGATCCTCAATTTTCGTAGAATTTTCCTAATTTTATTTGATCTTCTATTTGCTACAATATCTTTATTATTATTATTATAATTTAAGCATCTTTAATGAACTGCAATTCTACTGATCTTACTTTACAGATCGATATTGTTTAAAAAACACTAATATTGCCATTGACTACTAATCTGGAATATTCTGTGTATATAAGCATATATGTAATTGCAGAGCCAGAAGAGGAATTTATCGAAAAGGATATTCTTTGCTCAGTCATTTTGTGTTTTATAGTATTAAATTTCTCGCAGTAACATCAAAGACGTTCCACTATGGAACTAGACAACTTAATCACTCACCATTTTATGGAGGTTATGTAACCGTTTTGAATATATAGATAAATAAACTTACTTGTTCAATATTAGGCTGAAGTGGACTATACAGCATTCTTGTTTCAACATGTTCTTTAACCAATGGAAGTTTATTTAAAATATGCAAAGCTAAACGTTCTTTTGGTGGACCTAAATGTGGATTAGGTACCATACCACGTTCAAAATCTTCTAGTACAAATACACGTTGACCAACACGACAACTTGGACTTGGTTTAATTTCTGTCGGTTCTTCATATTGTGGTGCTGGCAGTGCATAACTATCGCATACAGCTAATAGAATTTCACTAGGCAGTTTTGAATCTCTCCATTGATTTGGTCCAGATATACAATAAGATTGTGGTAGACCACATGTAGCACGATATTTTGTCAGACGTCTATTCTCTAAATCAATATATGTTTGTCCAATGATATCATCTGCACCGACAGCATCATAATCTTTGATAATAACGTGAAGATCTTTTTCAATTGGCAGAAGACATTTCAACTGGAACATTCTGAAGTAGGATAAATACAAGATATGTGGAATGAAAGGTAGGTTCAGGTTACTCAAAGATTAATTAGTAAACAGACTTACCAAATGAAACTACTGTTCACTAAGATTTAAAGACGAGTAACAGATTGTTAGTGACCTTTACTAACTATTTTCATATTACTCATATGGATCAGTGGATGATTTATGTTTGATGTCACACAATATCGTAGAATTAAAAGCGAAAACCGACAAACTGGTCGAAGAAGCAGACGGAGAAGACATGACTCCAAGAGAACATAGACAAGACAGAGTCCGGTGATGAAAATAACCAACTAACAACAACAACAGCAGCAACATCCAGCGCCAGTCACCATCAACGGGAGCGATTTGAAAGAGGTTACTTCATTTACTTATCTAGAGAGCGTTGTCTCAACTACAGGCAGTAGGAACGGACGAGGATGTCAAATTGAGAATCGGGAAGGCAAGAAACACATTCGTCAACCTAAAATCTATCTGGAAATCTTCGTCACTCAGCATCAACAACAAAACTAGGATCTTCAATACAAACGTCAAGTCAGTCAGTTCTTCTATGCGGATCAGAAACTTGGCGGGCGGGTCACAAAGAATATTTCCAACAGCGTGTTACAGACCTTTATCAACAACTGTCTTCGCTGGCTCTATACTGAAGATCAGATGGCCGGGCCGGAGAGAATCACCAACTATTGGAAACTATGGGAACAAACTAAACAAGAAGCAATCGCCAACCAACAAATATGAAGGAGAAAGTGGAGATGGATTGGACACTCGCTAAGGAGGCCGGGCCGCCGGGTGACATCGCGCGCGCGCCAGGCCATTGCTCGAGTGGAACCAGGCCGAAAGGGAAGCAGCGAGTAGGACGTCTGTGCAAGGGTGACGCGGAGAAGATCGTGTGAAGAGGTGAGCTGAAACAGTATGGACTGACATTGATGAAGGTGAAAAGTGCAGCAGAAGGAAGACAAAAGCAAGTGGAGAGGTGCAGTTGAAGCCCTATGTTCCACTAGAAACCCAAGGGAACAATAATAATAATGTCAAGTGCATTATAGACTGTAATTCTGTTTAGTTAGATTTGTATAAGAAATTCTGCAACTAGATCCCAGTCAGTTATCTTATCTTCACGTTAAACTGCTGTAAATTTTTTCAAGTGTGGTTTCATAGGGAGTTGGTTGTTTACAAGTTTGATCACAAGATGACATCAGTCATGTAAAAGAACAGTAACTCGTCGGTGACACTGACTAGTGTTTGCGGTATATATATATATATATATATATATATATATACATTACAAACTGGAAGACTTCGGAGTTCATGAGTCATTGGATCAGGTCTACAAGCTCGCCTTGTAACCGGAACGTCCTGCGTCCTAAACTCGGTGACTGAGTACTGATGACGAATTTCAAACTGGGATGAAACAGCTATCCAGTATTGCCTGTTGGTTTAATAATAAACGTTAAATCGTGATCGAACCTGTGAAATTTATGTTAACATTTACTTATTTTCTGTGTACAGTTAAATTCACAAGCTTAAAAATATCTGAATATCAATGGTTTGATAACGATGAACATTTAAAACAAATTTATATGAGAAATACACTGTATTCAAGTGATAATGTGCTGAGAGTAGTCTGCTAGGCGAAATTGGTAGACAACAATTGACGTCAGTGTTTACGTCCCAAATCGGGGTCATGGAAAAAGACAAGAACAACGACTAACTCAACAACTAATCACAGAAGACTTAACGTAGGTGGATACGATTTGCAGATACACCACCGAACTGTCTTAGAAACAGCTAAAATGAGATGACAGAATAACCTTCAACAGGAAAACAACCAATTAGTAGACGCTGTTTCTGTGCTCATAATAACGAATAATAATGTACATAAAAATCTATAAATATCTATTGATTTTATATATGTCCAAACCAAGTTCACTTTTAACAGTTTGAAAAAATTTGGGCATTGGGTACATGATATTCATTATAATAAAGTTTTTTGTATTTCCCAATGAATGAAAAACAAAACGATATTGTTGTCTTTACTGACGTTTCGCTATTTAATGCTGCTAATAGCTTTATCAAAGTATTATTAAACCAGAATTTACAAAATCTCAGCATATATATATATATAACAAAGAGTTAAGGGGTGAGAAAATAGACTTAGGTCAAGTTAAAGGGACATATTGAAAGTCAAAATAGCAATGAAAATCGCTAAACCAAATAACAAAGGTAATAGGACGTCTGTTATGATATCAAAATCAAGTTTACTAACTTGATCATCGTTCGTCAGTCTGGGGTCATTTTCCGTTGTCAAGTTGGTCAATTGGTAAAGATAACAAAAACAAGTGTAGATTGTTGGATTTGATCAGTGTGTAAACTTATAAAAGCAGTGTGTGTTTACATAGTGAGCTTGCTTATCACATTTGTGTTGATTTTGTCATTTCATAATAGACATACTATTTGGTTTAGTGATCTTCATTGCTATTTTGACTTTCAATATGTCCCTTTAACTTGACCTAAGTCTATTTTCTCACCCCTTAACTCTTTGTTATATATATATATATATGCTGAGATTTTGTAAATTCTGGTTTAATAATACTTTGATAAAGCTATTAGCAGCATTAAATAGCGAAACGTCAGTAAAGACAACAATATCGTTTTGTTTTTCATTCATTGGGAAATACAAAATCTTTATTATAATGATCTGACACTATTTCCGCGGGGATGATATCTTAGATAGAGAGTATACAGACCTACAAATATCTTTCGCTGGTCGCCCAACTGAAAATCTATTGAAAAAGGGAAGTATTAGGACAGACAACATATTGTTGTTAGTCGTCAAGTCATGACTGATGCAGTCAATCAAATGTGGATTATTTATTTGTGATTTAAATTCCCGTGAATGTGTAAACGAAATAATATGCCGTGTATTTTGAATCAGAAATAAGTTTGTCACTGTTGTCACGCGTTGTAGCAGTTAAATTTGACTTTTGTGTCTATCTCAGTGTGGAGGAGTACTTTCAAGAGATCAGTTAGTTATCCTATCGTGTCTGGAGGAGCATTGTAGTCAGGATGGGCAATAATCAATAAGAAAAATTAACTCCCCTTTAGAACAGTTTTAACTTATCAACAATTAGATCAACGTTGTAGCAAATTATCTAGTATTTTTACTCTACTGCAAAGCTAAAACCAAAATGGAGAGAACTTACTTTCCAAATTCAGGATTTAAGGTGTTTGGAATATATTTGTCCTTTGAGTTAACTTTATGCTGTCCAACAGCAATTTCAACATATGGATCAGCCTAAATTTGTAATACAAATCAACAATATAAAATAAAAATTAAACAAGAAGAGGAAATGGGCAAATAAAATAAGAATTTGATGATATTAGATGGTTGGATGCAATCGGCCCCAGGAAGCCTTGCTTGACCTAGGTTTCGTGCTAGTTTGCACTCAACAGTCACCATGGCGTATCTGCAACTGCCTTGAAGGAACTCATGTCCCTTCTGAGATTCAAACCTGCGTCAACCAATGCCGCCTGCAGTCAGAGACGTTACCACTGAGCTAGGTATTCGGGCTCGCAGTTGACCTCCTGTAGGACTGTAGTGGGTAGTTTAATTGTACACTAGTAACTAGTGTGACGTATCTAGTACTTTTTGTGGTGCAGACTGAATTCCATCAGTCAGGTTTGCAATGTGGCCACCATTCTAGGTAGCTCGCCACCACGGTGCACACTGATTTGATGATATTAGATAGACAAATGTAAGACTATCAAATTTTTGATGCACCTTTTTAATGCTAGGGCTTTACAGCAATAATTCAGCCAAAGTAGTACTTAGTAGCATAATTTATGTACATTTTAAGGCCTCATTAATAGAATACATCAGAATTTCTAGGCTAAATTGATCAGGAACATTTCAGGACTGTCATCTCATAATTGTGCGCCCAACCGAATTAATGACTGCTAGATCTCAAGGGGGCACAGTGGTTAGGACTCTCGCCGACCACGCATATGGTCCGGGGTTCGAGCATCCGCCGACGCACATCTGATATCTATGGTCGGCCTGCAAAATTTGGGCTACCGATATCCATGCTGAAAATTCCATACTTGTACCAAAAATACAGTGTGGAATCGAGCTGTAAATCAAAAAAAAAAAAACCAGATGGCTGTCACTAATGAAAGTGTTTCTCTCCTTCTCTCTCTCGCGCGCGCTTATGCCTGCTTACTTCATGAGTAGTTAAATTCATATTGATTTTTGAGTTTACTTACATTTGTTTGATTGTAAACAAGACAAACTTTCATTAATCTGAAACCAATAGTAAGATGTGCTGCACTCAGAATACAGAACAAGATCCGGATCTTTAACGATGACGTCAAATTAGTGAATCGCGTGAAGCATTTCCAACAAGTTGATGTAAACTTTTATCGACAGCTGTCCACGCTAGACCATTACTGGATATAAGACGTCTAGTTTGGCGTATGCCAACTTACGTCATCTCTGGCTTAGTAGATGTGATATCCAGCCGTCGACCAAAGGGCTTGTGTAATGCTCAGCAGTTCTTTCTGTCTTTGTTTATGGCTGAGACATGTCCATTGAAAGTGGAAGACATTAAAAGATTGGTTAGCTGTCTTTGATCATAAGTGTCTATGTTCTGTCTTCAATGTTAAACGGCCCAATAGAGTGAGTAATACTGAGGTTAGGCTTTGAGTGTTAGACAACAAGGGCAAGTCAGTCGATGACGTTTTAAAAGTAAATAGATTAAAATGGCTAGGACATGCGTTATGGATGTCTGCCAAGCCATCGCCTTCCTAGACGAAGAATGTTAGCTGATATAGGATGGACCAGAATGTAAAAGAGCAAGTGGTGGTGGTCAAACCAAAACATGGCTTCATCAGTCAATGAAATCCACAACAGTTACTTCGAACCACGTGAGAACGTGTTGACTGCCTAGTTAAGGTCCTCGAGATGTTAAGAACCAATAAAGACTGGAGATAATTGGTGGGTGGTACTGCTCAAAGTGATCGTTGTCAACAGCTAGTTCAGATGCATTCACTCTTTGAGATTTATACTATTCAGTAAAATTCTATTGTTCTTTCGAATTGCTATTCGTTTCGGGTCACATTTCTGTTTATTATCTCTCTCTGTCTTGAATCTCTCTGTACTCTCTTCTCTTGCTTTGTGTACCACACGGAAGGAGAGTGGCACCTGAAACTGCTGGACATCTGTGCAAAGTTCTATGTTAAAACCAGTCAGTCAGTGGCCAACCAGAAAAGATAAGCAACAAGGAACTCTAATACTGAGCTAACCAAAGACATGTTGCTTAATAAATTTGCATAAGGAATTTGAGATGGAGCGATCACACGTTGAGGAGGCTGTTGTGTAATATCGCTTGCTAGGTCCTTGTGTTGAACCCGAATAGGAAATGATGAGCTCAGTATGAGTGTGAGTGTGGCATGGAGCAGATAGTGTGAGGAGCAGATGAAAGCCTATGAACAATCATGGAGCCATAGACCATATAGCGATAGGGTATCGTTGGCCAGGGTCTGTAGAAGACTGACTGTCATTTTAGAACACATGTGTAGACTCTGATCACGCCCTGGTTCGCGCACGTTTATGCCTTCGATTAAACGGACATAAAAAGTTGTTGTCAGTGAAGCAGTTATGTCCCCAAATAGATCGAGACTCTGAGTCCCTATTTAAGCTAGAGATAGTGAGACGAGTATCTGAGGTCGTTAGCATGACTCCTCCTGAGGTAGCCTAGCACAACATGCAGTTAGCTATAGACACAGCTGTAAAAGCTGTTAATAGCCTGAAACCTAAAGTTAGTAAGAGCCATTGGATTTCTACCACCTCATCCGAACTGATTGACGCAAGAAGACCGATTTCGACGAGCTCCGATTATAATGAGGAGTGAAAGCTACTCAAATGCAAACTAACAAAAAGCCTTCGTAATGACCGTGAACAGTGGTGGGGGACAAAAGCGAAGGAGATGGAAAAGGCATCGACGATTGGTAATACCAGACAACTATTTAGACTTATCAAGGAAACAGGTGGTAAAAGGCAAATAATAAGTGAAACAACATCTAAGAAACATGGCACCATAACTAGCTCCCAGGATACACGACTAGGATTTTGGAAAGAACACTTTGAGGAGCAGTTTAGTTGGCCTAGAGCCACGCTCAACTTAATGAACATCCAACAACTCCCTGAATGGGATATAGACACAGGTCCTCCATCCCTAACTGAGGTTACAAAGGCAGTTACTAATCTGAAACGAGGCAAAGCTGCAGGACTTGATGGAATGACTCCAGAGGTATTTAAGTATGGTTGAGACGGTCTACTGTCTGCGTTAACTGAGGTACTAGGCAGCGTCTGGGAATCAGAAGAAGTCCCGTCAGGTTGGTGTAAATCCCTGATTATTCCCATATACAAGAAGGGAGACAAGTCTTCCTGTGATAATCACAGAGGTATTAGCTTGACTAATACAATATCTAAAGTTCTAGGCTGAATAATAAAGCGTAGACAAGTGGTGCTCGGGAGGCACCAACACGAGAGATGCAGGCAGACTTTAGACCAAGAAGGGGGTGTGTTGATCATATCTTCACCCTTCGACAGATTCTGGAACATAGGCATTCTTACAGGCGTCCAACAATCGTCATCGTTACATCGATTGAGATGGTTAGGACATGTGCTATGCATGCCTAGCGATTGCCTTCCTCGACGGGCAGTGTTAGCTGACATAGGGTCGGATTGAAAAAAAGCTAGTGGTGGTCAAACCACAACATGGTTTCATCTGTCAATGAAATCCACAACAGTTAGTTTAAGCCAAGTAGGAAGGTGTAGACTTCCTGGTTGTGGTTCTTGGGACGGTAAACACCAGTGGCTGGAGACAATTGGTGATATGGCTCGAAATCGTTTTCAATAGCTGGCTCAGATGCATATACTCCTTGTGACTTATAGTATCCAATAGAACTACATTGTTCTTCAATATTACTATTCCTTTTACCTCATATCTCTGTTTACTATCTCTACTTTGCGTTTCTTTTTATTTTCTTCTCTGGCTTTGTGTACTGGGTGAAGTGTGGTGACTCAAACTGCTGCAAATCGGTGCTAAGTTCTATGTTGAAACCAGTCAGTCAGTAATCATAGAGCCAATTAAAAAACGACACCAAAGAACAGGGCGAAATATACATGAATTGTTGGGGCCGTAAGTTTCAGTAGGAACCCAAGGCAATAATAATACATAAATAATAACAATAATTCAAAATACATTGACTTACAAGTCCTGAAGCATCAGCTGGTTGTAAGTCAATTGCACGTATAACATAAACGCGTAGAACACATTCTTCTGGTTCTGAGGATACACTTAATTTCTCAAAATAACGTAATGGTAGCTGTTCTTTTGGATCTTCTGGTAAGGCATAAATTCGAAATGTGCCTTTAAATTCTCCAGCATAATTATCTTCATCTGCGTCAACATTTTTACCTCTTGTTAAGGTAAATGTATTACAAAAATCTGTAAAACCCTGATAACCTTCAACATCTTCCAATGGATGAGGATAGACCTAAATAAAATATACACGATAAAGAGATGAATATATCTTCAATGAGTTTGTTGTGATGGGAGCTATCTGCTAGCCAAAATTGGTAGACAGCAATTTACGTCAATGTTTACGTCCCAAATTTCGGTAATGAGAAAAAAACAAGAATAAAGACTAACTGAACAACCAATCACAGCAAACTCTGCGTGGGCGGATACAACTCGAAGATATACGGTCTGACCTTCGAAGAGACGGACACAAAGAAATGGCAGAATAACCTTGAGCAGGGAAACAACCAATCAGAAGACACTGTTTCTCTGCTAGTAATAACGAACATAAAAATCTATAAATATCTATTGATTTTCTCAATAAATGATCTGTTTGCTGGCCATTGCCTTCTGTCGTTACAGTGTTATTTGTATATGTGAAAGGCTGAATAAATTCAACGCTAGCTTTGATATTGTATTGATATGGACTGGAGAATTATTACACACTTATAGAGAGGTACTCTGACCCTAGATTACGTCATATGAACAGTATACACTTCTAGTCACCTTGAAGGATCTAAACTGTTATGTTGAACTGTGGTACTTGATTTCCTGCTAAGTAGTTTGCTTTTGTACAGACATTAGAAAATTTTACATTTTTAAGGTCTCCATTATTTCACAAGATGAAACTTACACATATTGTATCATAACCAAATTCTTTATACTTTAGACATTTATCCCATTCACCAACTGATGCATAAAATTTCGACCACCAGTCAACTTTATCATCAATTTGTTTAAGATCCATCTGAAATGAACGAAGAAAGAAAAAAAAAGTCATTCAATAGATTAGATGTGCCTCCATAAGAAAAATAAATTCCTCAATAATTTAATTAGATTTTAATACATACAGTAGGCATGCATTAATGTGTAAACAGTATAGTATTCATCGAAAGAGACTTATAATACTAACTGAAACAAGATAAAATAATATCCATGCAAAATACTTTGATAAATTATTACTATTTTTTCCTTGCGTTCCAAGTGGAACATGGGGCTTCAAAAACACATCTCCACTTTGTTCTGTTTTCTGCCCTCCTCTTCAGCTGGATAGCTCGACGACTGACCAAACTCTCTCATCTCTTTCTCACACAATCTCCTCCATATCACCATCACACTGACGTCCCACTCGTCGCTCAAGGACCTGGAGTGAGATGTCATTCGGCGGCCACCTTAATGTATGTTCGACCCATCTCTACTATCTCCTATATATTTGTTGAGCGACCGGTTCTTGGTTGGTTGGTTGGTTTTCATAGTCTCTTGTTGCCTATTGTTTCTGGCCACTTGATCTTCAGTATCGAGACAGCCAGCGAAGGAGATAGCTGTTGATGAAAATCTGCAGCTGGTTGTTGGAAATCCTTTTCCTGACACGCAGTGCAAGTTTCTCACCCGTATAGAAACACTAACTGATTTGACAATGGTGTTGCAAATGCGAATCTTTTTCCTTATTCTGGCTGAGTGCGGAAGATTCCCAAACGGGTACTCTAATATCTGTTCATCCAAAATTAAACGAAAAAAACAACCGATTCAAGCCAGATTTATTCACTAGTTCATATCAGTTGGAAGACCATTGGATTTCATAAAGCATTGAACAGCTGTTTTTGTTTTTAGTGTGAGACTCATCAGTCGTGCACACTCTTGAAAGTAATCTGAGACAAAATGCTTGTCCAGTACTCCCTGGTTTCCAGTGGTTGCTAATGTATTCTACCTCAAAATATGACTAAAATGTCTCTCTGTTTTAGACTTAGAGAAGGGTCACAGTTGTATTCAACAGATGTGATGATTACATTAAGTTATAAATTAAAAATGAGAGGAGTTTGTAGCATGTGAAAACAACTTCACTCGATATAAGGAGGTCATAAATGCACGCACGCATGCATGCACACACATTCACACAAACACACACACACATGTTAAGCACACTTTGCATGCTACACCAATAATTACAGTCGAAAAATAGGATAACCTGTTGCACTGACAAACTATACCATTGATGTAATACAAGATGATTGAAAGTGAAATATGATTTCGGACTACAAATGCGGAAGATACTGATCGGGAATCTTATCATTTCACTATCTTCAATCGTCAAGCATTACAAAAATGTAAACGCAAAGGTATTAGTTGTGAAGAAATTTGAGAAGACAGGAGAACACCCAGAGCAATCCGTTAAAATCATAGAATATGTATGTGTATATTAATAATTTCATAGAAAGCTAATATATCCTCCCCCACCTTCCGTTGTAGAATAAGAAAAGGATCACACAAGCAGATATCAAATTCGATGTATTTCAAATCCATTTAAGGTAAATTAGCAGTAAGTAAAGACAATTCCAGATTGCTAAGTATCAATCATTGAAGCCATTGTGGTTAAATGAAAGAAACGAAATTCATGCATCTAGAAGGAAACTGTTGTTAATCGTACTTTACCATGGTAAATATACTCTACTGTTATTAAAGTTCAGTATTTTAACTATACTTTGTTTTGACAATATAGTTTCCTACCCTCATTTTGTCATTATTTATATCCTTGATCGGATTACTTGCTGTCTAGTACTCAACCAAATCACATGATTCTTATGTAAGTGTGTTGTATACCTCTATTCAGTTTGCATCAGTCATTTATCATAATAGAATATTCTTGTGATAAATTCTATACCTACCTAATAACAACCTTTGATTGGATACTAGGAACTAGTGCGATGTGTCTAGCCCTTTTTCCGGTGCAGACTGAATTCTATCAGTCAGGTTTGCAATGTGACCACCATTCTAGGTAGCTCGTCATCACGGTGAACATTGATATGATGATATTAGATTGCCGATTGCCTCCAACCGTCTAATATCATCAAATCAATGTGCACCGTGATGGCAAGCTACCTAGAATGGCGGCCACATTGCAAACCTGACTGATGGAATTCAGTCTGCACCACAAAAAGTACTAGATACGTCACACTAGTTACTAGTGTACAATTAAACTACCCACTACAGTCCTACAGGAGGTCAACTGCGAGCCCGAATACCTAGCTCAGTGGTAACGTCTCTGACTGCAGGCGGCATTGGTTGACGCAGGTTTGAATCTCAGAAGGGACATGAGTTCCTTCAAGGCAGTTGCAGATACGCCATGGTGACTGTTGAGTGCAAACTAGCACGAAACCTAGGTCAAGCAAGGCTTCCTGGGGCCGATTGCATCCAACCATCTAATATCATCAAATTCTTATTTTATTTGCCCATTTCCTCTTCTTGTTTAATTTTTATTTTATATTGTTGATTTGTATTACAAATTTAGGCTGATCCATATGTTGAAATTGCTGTTGGACAGCATAAAGTTAACTCAAAGGACAAATATATTCCAAACACCTTAAATCCTGAATTTGGAAAGTAAGTTCTCTCCATTTTGGTTTTAGCTTTGCAGTAGAGTAAAAATACTAGATAATTTGCTACAACGTTGATCTAATTGTTGATAAGTTAAAACTGTTCTAAAGGGGAGTTAATTTTTCTTATTGATTATTGCCCATCCTGACTACAATGCTCCTCCAGACACGATAGGATAACTAACTGATCTCTTGAAAGTACTCCTCCACACTGAGATAGACACAAAAGTCAAATTTAACTGCTACAACGCGTGACAACAGTGACAAACTTATTTCTGATTCAAAATACACGGCATATTATTTCGTTTACACATTCACGGGAATTTAAATCACAAATAAATAATCCACATTTGATTGACTGCATCAGTCATGACTTGACGACTAACAACAATATGTTGTCTGTCCTAATACTTCCCTTTTTCAATAGATTTTCAGTTGGGCGACCAGCGAAAGATATTTGTAGGTCTGTATACTCTCTATCTAAGATATCATCCCCGCGGAAATAGTGTCAGATCATTATAATAAAGATTTTGTATTTCCCAATGAATGAAAAACAAAACGATATTGTTGTCTTTACTGACGTTTCGCTATTTAATGCTGCTAATAACTTTATCAAAGTATTATTAAACCAGAATTTACAAAATCTCAGCATATATATATATATATAACAAAGAGTTAAGGGGTGAGAAAATAGACTTAGGTCAAGTTAAAGGGACATATTGAAAGTCAAAATAGCAATGAAGATCACTAAACCAAATAGTATGTCTATTATGAAATGACAAAATCAACACAAATGTGATAAGCAAGCTCACTATGTAAACACACACTGCTTTTATAAGTTTACACACTGATCAAATCCAACAATCTACACTTGTTTTTGTTATCTTTACCAATTGACCAACTTGACAACGGAAAATGACCCCAGACTGACGAACGATGATCAAGTTAGTAAACTTGATTTTGATATCATAACAGACGTCCTATTACCTTTGTTATTTGGTTTAGCGATTTTCATTGCTATTTTGACTTTCAATATGTCCCTTTAACTTGACCTAAGTCTATTTTCTCACCCCTTAACTCTTTGTTATATATATATATATGCTGAGATTTTGTAAATTCTGGTTTAATAATACTTTGATAAAGCTATTAGCAGCATTAAATAGCGAAACGTCAGTAAAGACAACAATATCGTTTTGTTTTTCATTCATTGGGAAATACAAAAAACTTTATTATAATGAATATCATGTACCCAATGCCCAAATTTTTTCAAACTGTTAAAAGTGAACTTGGTTTGGACATATATAAAATCAATAGATATTTATAGATTTTTATGTACATTATTATTCGTTATTATTAGCACAGAAACAGCGTCTACTAATTGGTTGTTTTCCTGCTGAAGGTTATTCTGTCATCTCATTTTAGCTGTTTCTAAGACATCTAATATTAATAATAACAGTCCACTCTTTTCCATTGTGAACATCATAATGTGCTGACAAATAATAGAGAACATTTCTGGCTTCAGCTTGTAGAAAATATACCTTGCAATGAGTTAAATCCACATCTATGTATACTTAACATTATCCCAAAATCTATTGTATATATAGGCGAAGGACAAAATATTAGTCAAAAGAAATATGCTACGTTTTATTAGTAAGTAGCTTCAAAATCAATTTCGAATAAATACACGAAGTTGTTGTTTTATTTCCAGTGGTATGAAACCATAGGTGAGTAGTGATGAAGAGACCCAAACTTGGACGAAACAGTTGTTCATTACTCCTTACTGTTTGTGACCACCAGCGTGTATCAAGTTGGATTTGAGTAAAAATACTGATAGATGACACTGACTGTTGGATGTACCATATATATATATATATATATGACAAACTGGTAGTAATTAGAATTCATGGTCTGCCGACTGGATTCCATCACAGTGGTTGAATTTCCAAAAGCTCGTACTGATGATGAGTACCAAGCTGTAGGGAAAAAGTCGTTCAATACTCCCTGGGTTTCAGTGGTTTCCTGACTGTATCCACAGCGGGATCACACTTGGAATAGAAAATCTGTAACCACTAGTACTATTCATAAAAGTATAGCTATAGAAAGGAACGATTTGAACACATCAGCTTTCTAACCTGAATGAAACCTAATTATTAATAAAAATGCTTGTAATGGAAAATGTTTCGATTGGATAGAGAAAATTATTTGAAGATTCATTTAAAAATATAAAAAAAAATAAACTATCTATATATCACTCTAACATTATAACAAGAGAAAACACAGCATTGGACACATTGAACATGCGATTGAACCATTGAATCTGTGAACTTATCAGTGTAATGTATACAAATAAATTGTGCAACAGTGTAAACAACACTCACACACAACACACATGCGGATAAATAATAAGTAAAACATTTTGGTCATAGTCGAAAAAAAGGAAAAAAAACAAAAAACAAAAGGAAAAGGAAAAAATACAAAACTAACTAAATTAGTAACCTGAGTTATGAGTTCCTGTAAAGCAGAAAAAGTATACACAAGAAGAAGTGGTGATAATGAAACATAAAGGGGGGTCCAGGTGAACTATAAATGAACCCATTTAAATAATAAGTGATAATTGCATCAATTAAATCAAAGTGCATGAAGAAGAATGAATATAGTGAAATATATTTTTGCTTTAAAATTAAACCAACCACCAACCCTCCTTTCCCCTTGGCGTCTACCACCACCAAATAAATCTCTAGCGTTTCCTATGATAAAACAATAAGTAAACTAGAACCAAGTGATAAAATAAACACAGTAGGTGAGTGTTTCTAAGAGTGATGATGATGTTGGTGATAACGAAGACGATACGAACAACAACAACAACAACACCTGTATTTCTAAGGATTGGACTTTTTTAGATTTTAAAAATTTCCATTTTCTTCGAGGTTTTTGTGCTGCCACGATGCCGGTGACAACTTTGACTCTTTTCGGCTTTGAAATATCCTCATAAGGTGTCTAGATGAAGAAATTTTGTAGAGTTGACAGTTTTTTTTTGAATGTATGAATGTGAAATACATATGAAGAGATAAGTTAGATTTAATATCATTGCCACCTGAGTGTCACCAAGTACTTTATCATGACAATTTTGCCATTAATACATCCCCCTAAGAGTCGTCAGATTTATGTATGTATATATATGCAACAGATACTTGACGCTAGTATGTCAGTTGAAAGGCGGTGAAGTATGCTGTCTTACTGATGACTTAGCTGACCTGGGAAATACCAGACCGGGTGATGACTGTAATGACGTGATAGGAGTTTACTGATAGAAAGGTCACTTACTATTCACACTGATAAAATCACTCAATCCCCTGGTGAAAATTCAGTCAACAGTGCTTTAGTGAGTTTAGTTCGGTGATATGCGAATGCGGGCGGTAGAGCGTTAAAGGCAGGCTATGTGCATACATATACACTACTGTTAAAGTGGCGTATTCTACTGATAAGATTTATCAGTAGTATATACATAAAGAGACGTTCGTCGGCATAAAAAAGCATTAAACAGCAGGGGAATAGATTCGATGTCAGACAAAGCAAATGATACAGCGTTGTAGAGATACAACGGCAACGTGAAGGGAACACAAAGAAACAGAATGTGAAGGCGAGAAGTAGCGCGACACGGAAGCTCTGTGCAAATGGTGCATCGAATATATAATTTGTCAATTTAGATGCACCAGATTGCAAATAAACATTTCTTTTACCCAGACACTTATCTTCTAACGTTCCACTACTAATAGTGTTTAGTAGAATTTTTAAGAGGGGCTAGTTAAAAATCGAATGTATTTTCCATGAAGCTTTAAGTAAAAAATATTGCTGAGTCTGTGAACATATGGGAGGGGTTTGGACAAAAGTTGAACTACGTAACGCTACTTTTGTGTCATTTGATATTACAAATAGGGGATTGGAATAAATAGAATAATCCATAAGGTTATTTGACCGACAAATACTATCGAGCAATGAAATTATAGATTGGTAGTGAGACGACTTGAGATAGACTTGGTGTTTGCCAGACTGTTATTGATATAATGGTTGGTGATTTCACTTCCCCTTCAATCACCATCACCCAGGAACCACCTGCCCTTCTCCTAATTCTAATCCAGTATGACAGGAGAGACCTAGTTCGGAAGGTAGTGTGGTGATGAGCAGACAGTGAAATGTCATTCATTCTGGACATTAGATGGTTGCAGGTGATCGGCACGAAGCCTTGGACCTAGGTTGATCGCGACGCAGAATAGCTCAGTGGTAATGTCTCTGACTGCAGCACTGGGTGACGCGGGCTCAAATCTCAGAAGGGAAATGAGTTCCTACAAGGCAGCTGCAGATACTCCTTGCTGGCTGGTGAGTGCCAACTAGCTACAAACCTAGGTCAGTTTGGGCTTCCTGCCGATCGGCTTCAACCAGCTAATGCCATCAGATCAATGTACACCGTGATGGCTAGCTACCTAGAATAGTGGCCACATTGCAAATCTGATTGATCGAATTCAGTCTGCACCAAACAAGGGACTAGACACATCACACTAGTTACTAGTGTCCAATCAAAGTATTCTGGACATTACGTGTAATAAATCTAGTCAGATGATGACTTGGTTAGCATTTGGGTCTCACAGCTCAATTGATCGAGTGACGATCTGATGATTCGGTGACCACTAGTTCGAGTCCTACTGTGGCCAAGTATTTCATTTTACTTTCAATCATGACCCATCACATAAACTACAAATTCTTAAATTGTCTGTGACACTACACCTAATATTGTGGTTGTATGCCCTTAATTCCGTGTTAATATGATGACCTATATTAAGCATACCAATTGATTATACCTTTTCTTTGAATAACACCCGCTAAGTGATACTGGATTGGTATCACGTAATATTATTATCATGACTGTTAGTTTGGACTGTAGATTGAAGACAGTAAAGGTTTTCTAGTCAACAGTCTGTCTTCTTAATTCCTTCATTGTGTCATGTATAAGTGGTATCGTGTTGTTGTTGCGGTGGTGGTGGTTGTCGCCGCGATTAGTGATTAGAACACTAAGCTCACAAATCTACTAGCTGGAAAGTTCATTAGCACAATAGACTCATAAACTATTTGATTGTTTTGACGGTCATATCATTGCTATTACAATTAAGTTGAAACGTCTCAATACTGAAGTACTTAATAATCATAATATTAATAATAATTTGAAATATAGTAGTAAAAACAGATGGTCACCTGTCGAATTGGTTAAGATACGTTAAAACGTTAGCATGCATCAATGTGTGCTATCAACCTAAGACTAGATTTGCAAGACAACATCAATTCATGCAATTTCTAGCTGTTCAACTGAGGCATACTGAACAATTCTACAAGCATGTATATATATATATATATATATTTGATAAAATAGAACACGTTCTTTTGCCCATAAGAACAGCAAACAAACAAATATCAAGGGTGACCAGATTATTCAGTTGACAACTCAAAGACTTCGGCCAGTCATCAATTGCACATTTTATGCCGCATCTCTTTCTCTCACGTGCGGAACATTTCCTATCCCTGTACCTACAATTGAAGGATGAAGTTCTATGGACTCTACTTCAAACTGTATCTACAAGTTCACCTGCAGATGCAGTGACACCTATATAGGTAGAACTGATAGAATGTTCTAATGCCGTTGAAAAAAGCATGTTCCAAAATGGTTATTTAGACACACAGAAAATTCCAATGCAATTAATCTGAATAGAAATTCAGCGTCATTCATTGTAAAGCACTTATTAATGTCAGGTCGCAAAATCAATATTAATAACTGTTTCACAATGATTTCATCACATAAATATAATTCAAAGTTATTGAAGGTGAGGGATCACATACATCCTAAACTATGTGTACAAAAAACAATAGATTTAAAGCTTCACCTACCATGAACTGACTACTTGACCTATTTAAAACTATGACTGGTCATTAGTATGTACTTTTGTTTTTTATATAACTGAGTAATTGTCATGCTCTTTATTTTATTTTATTATTGTTAGCCGTGATAGTTGTAAAGCGGTTGTGAATAAACCACGAAATGATGCCATTATCTCGCAAAATTTGTCTTCTAAATGCCTTATTGAAATTTATCAAAGGGACTAATTTATCAGGCCTATTAGTTTCTTAAAGTTTAAAAGTGCACCTTTATAGTAAGTATCATAGTACACAAATCCTAAGCTGTGAAAGTCTTTCTGTCAAATGAAAACATCAATTTACAGTACCTCAAGATGACAGCGCAATGAATGAACTTAGTTCCTGCTTTAGTTTATCTGTAACTCAGACTAATCAAGGCTTCAAATGCTCAATTATAGAGTCTCATAAATTAACAAACAGATAAGGGAAGAGAAGATATGCCTTACTGAAGACCCTTCATCGAAGATACATTCATAACAATAAAAACCAATATCTTTAAAACTCCTATGCTTGTTAATAGATTTCTATGGCTATTCAACATTCATTTCGCAGCAATATATCTATCAGCCTATCCATTGAATATGTTTACTATATTTTTGATTTTGTAAAACAAAGTTCCTGAGTCACACAGGCTAAAAATAATTCGTTCACATTTGATAATTTGAAAACAAAATCATTGTTGAATACTGAATCAACTCCAGTAAGACAGTTGATATGTATGACGAATGGATTATTCTCTATTTGGTAATTCAGCGATTGATGTCCAGTCGGAAATTTAACCAATCAGAATTTGACTTAGTGAAATAACGCCCACTATTTTATTGATCATGATTGTAGACTAATTGACATAGCCTTAATAATATTTTATATCATACATTATTGTGTAAGATCTACTTTGGGGTTCATGTCGTTGTGTGTTCTCGCTTAAGTAATGAGGTCTGGGTAAACAGGTGGCTGTCGTGTAATGTTGCTGGCCTAGTCCAACGGTATTTGTGTCTAAATCGGCGTCTTTATTTCATCTTCAACGTATTGTGAATTATAGCAGCAATACATACATATATATACTTACAGAAAATAATTGCATTTTTACATGAACTTACATATTTTTTCTTCTGTTTTGCTTTACTTGGTGAATGTATTACTACACTGGGATCGGTTAAACTGGGTTCTTGTGTCAATGGAGAACTATCAGTTAAAGCTGATTAAATAATTAAAATAGAATTAAAAACCGAATTAAAAATGGATGAGGATAATAATAATAATAATAAAGAAAACGAATCATAGATGCATTGAAATTCGACCTAATTGCAAACAATTCACGCTGCTACACTTCATATTGGTAGTTCTTTCCATTCTTTGCCTTCAGTATAGAATATAGAGTTCCAAGCTTGAACTTTGATGTTTCAATAACAGTTTTGTTGTTATTTTTAAAGCGGGGTGGAGTGGGGTGTGGATGAGTCGTCAACCTCACTGCCGAAATTCCGAAACTCTTCAGGATTACTATAGGTTATAAGAGGTTTAGGAAAGCGTTAGTCAGCAATTGAGCCTGAGTCACCACCGGTGCAGTTGGTAAGTAGTTTACGACCGAACTGCTGGCGCACTTCTTATTGACATATAATGCAGCCATTTCGTACTATTAGTACTACTGACAGTAATAATGATAATAATAATACTACATTGGTCTTGTTATTGAAGATAAGGAAAAGAAAATGAGATTAAAGCATTTTATGATCTATAATGGAGTTAATGGCTTCTACATTAAACCAATACTGAAATGCAGGTACATCCTATTGTACAGAAGTAATATTCAGCCGACTGAACTCGGTTGACAGATTACTATTAACGTTTAGAAATAGATAATTACCCTATTTATCAGCAAAAGGATGCAGTCATATAAGTGATCAGATAGGTGATAACTGCAGACGATGACCATCTCATATCATTTCACTGGATGGTTCAGTCTTTTGTAACATCATTGAGACTGACAGCTAATGAGTTTATTGGTTAACGGATTAGTTTGTTTATTAGATGTGTCACACAGTGAAACAGTATTATTTACTGGATGACGAAGTTTCGAACAAAATTTATTACTGTTCATAATCATGCCATCAATTATAATCACACGACTTGGAAACTTGAGTTTTACAGTCTTCTTTCTTCACTTCCATTTGTCGTCGTAGGGGTAGTAGAATTTTCCAGATATCCGAATGGACAGGTGTTGAATCATTCCTATTACACGTGTTTGCAGTTGATTCGATAAACAAAGCTTCTGTTATCCTATCCTACTGTGTGGTTGTGTGTAATTGCATGTAGTGCTATAGCTGAACTATTCTCTAGATTTCTTATCTTACTTGGGTCAACTAATCTAGATTTTGCTAGGTTTTTATGCTCGGCTAGTCTGGCTGACTGATCCTGTTCTACTACTTTAACCTATGTATTTGACCTGACAATCATTCCAGCAGGTGGGGTATTAGATAAACTAAATTGTTTTGTTTTAAAGGCTCCACTGTCAGGATCCTTTAACCGACAAAGCTTGTTTCTAATTGAGTTTGTGGGGGGTTTGAATGCCAGTCACTTTTATTCCTGTCTTGTTAAGAATTCTGCGTAAGGTGGTTTCCGAAGTCCCTTCCTCGTATGGAATTACTACTGATGTTTTAGATGTTTATTAACGATTCAGTGAATTCTAATCACCATGATAAGGTGGATGGATTTGAAGATAGGGTACTGTAGACATTTTCAAATACTTTTTATAGACAATAAATATGCTTGTAAGTATACTCTTTTTTTCATTCCTTTGAGTTTACAGAGGGACATAGGCCTTTGACCTTTTAAGCTTCGATAGAGTTGGTGCTGTTTTCACTGGGTGGAGTTGCTGGCTTAACGCGAAAGCTTTCCTCTTTTTCAGGCCAACTACCGGATAATAAGTAAGCTAGGCGAGGTTTCTGGGGTGAGTTGGCTGGAAGTCGAACTGCAGACCCAGTGCTTACTGAGCATGTAAATTCATGTTTCTATTTTTCACTAGTGTTCTTCCATTGATATTCCCTGTCTTTATTGACCCTAAAGATCTTATAAAAGTTAATCAGCGTATTTAGTGTTATTGATGTTAAATAGTTGGAGGCAGTCTGCAGAAAGCCCTGGATCTGGGTTTCCTGCTTGTAAGTCATCGTCAGCAAGACGTATCTACAATCTTTAAAGATTTCTTATCACCTCTGACATTCGAACTTGAGTCACCCATTGTTACAGTCAGAGTTGTTATCAATCAGCTGTACGAGCTAACGATTGACCACCACCTGTAAGACTGATATGATCATCGGGCAGTTATTGATGTCATACGTCTAATCCTTAGTTTTGGTGCAGCCTGAATTTTCAAGAAACTTCTTCACCTCTCTTAAGTCATATTGTGGTGAGAGCTGTCTGGGAGACAAAATTGCAAACAACAAATCACGTCTATGTTTATGTCCCAAATCTTGCTCATGAGAAAAAAACAAGAACAAAGACTAACTCAACAACCAATCACAGAAGACTTTGCGTGGGCGGATACGGTTCGCAGATAAATGGTCTGACCTTCAAAGAGACGCCCACAAAGAGATGGCAGAACATCCTTCAACAAGAAAACAACCAATCAGAAGACGTTTCCTCTATGCTAACAATGACGAATAATAATGTTTATAAAAATCTATAAACATCTGTTGATTTTCTCAATAAACAGGATGTGAATAACTGAGGTGATTTTGCTGCTGTCTCAATTCCAGTATTAACCAAAAAAAGCATATAATGAAAAAAGAAACACTTTATTAGTAACGTTTCATGTAGTTGGAAGTATACCTCGTCCTATGTTAGATGTTTATATTTCCTGCCGTATTTCACTTTAGATTTTTTGAAAACTAAGTAAAAATCGTCAAACTAAACTCACAGATTAACCTCAAATGTCAAACAATACCTAATGATCTATCATTTCAAGAAATCATGAAAGAAAACACAAAGTCAAAAAGCCCTCCAAAGAAAGCTAGTTCATACAATTCAAGTTCACCTTAAAAGAGCATTGATGATTCAATTGTAGAATGACTGTCAACCACACAAGTGGTCAAGATTTGAGATACCTGACCAACACACTCCTTAACCTTGCCTAGTGCATAATAAGCCAGGTTGGACATAAAGCTGGTAACGCCACTCTTGAAAAAGCAAACATGAACGCTACTAACACTTCAAAGCCCAACCTTTAAATCCTACGTTTCACTAGGAAAGTAAAGGAAGTATTTTGCAATTCTAATGCACTAGGTTTCCGTCAAAAATCCAATCAGTAAGAGGGTTTCGATATCAACAACCATTCACTAGTCAGTTTATCAGCAATTGTGTATGTGAAGATTTATGGAGTTAGTGAATATACATAGAAATTCCTAGTGAAACACAGTGGAAAAGAAACTCAGAATGATGTCGAAGAATCCGAGGATAACCGTTACGATTCGAAGAGAAATATAACTATTTTCAAGAGTTGTTATTATTATTGTTCCCTTGGGTTCCTAGTGGAACAAAGGGCTTCAACTGCACGTGTTCACTTGCTTCTGTCTTCCTTCTGCCGTACTTTTCACATGCATCCATGTTAGTGCATACTCTTTCAACTCCTCTTCACACGATCTCCTCCATGTCACCCTTGCACTGACGACACAGTTGCCTCTTCCTTTTCGGGTCCAACTAGAGCAATGGCCTGAAGCGCGATGTCACCCAGCGGCCTCCTCAGTGAGTATCCAATCCATCTCCACTTTCTCCTGCATATTTATTCGTTGGCGATTGGTTCTTGTTTTGTTTGTTCCCAGCCATAGTTTCTTGTTGGTGATTCTTTCCGCCTCGGCCACCTGATCTTCAGTATAGACCGAAGACAGTTTGTTGTTGATAAAGGTTTGCAACAGGCTGTTGGAAATATTCTTTGTGACCCGCCCGCCAAGTTTCTGATCCGAATAGAAGAACTGACTGACTTGACATTTGTATTGAAGATCCGAATTTTGTTGTTGATGCTGAGTGACGAAGAATTCCAGATTGGTTTCAGGTTGAGTGTGTTTCATGCCTTCCGGGTTCTCGATTTGAAATCCTCATCCGTTCTTCGTGTAGTTGAGACAATGCTCCCTAGATAAGTAAATGAAGTAACCTATTTCAAATCGCTCCCGTTGATGGTGATTGGCGCTGGATGTTTCTGCTGCTGCTGTTGGTTGGTTATTTTCATAACCTCCGTCTTGTCTATTTTCACCTAGAGTCCTGTCTTCGCCGTCTGCTTTTTCGACCAGTTTGTCGGTTTTCGCTTGTAATCCTTCGATTTTGTGTGAAGTCAAACAAAAATCATCCATGCGTGAAATCCAGGTCTTCTAGGTTCTTCACGTCGGTCGGTCCAGGATATCCCTGTCCCGTTTCTCGTTTCCCACTGTCTGACGCATAATCCAGTCAGTCCACCACAATTAGAAATATGATTGGTGATAATAGGCATGCACTCTTGTCTGACTCCTGTGTTTTCCTTTGTGGATCACTTGACATGTGGCGTTGTCCTGCAGCTGTTGAATAAGTTTGATGAATATTTGGGACATACCGTAGTACTCGAGTAGGTGGTCTCAACAGCGGTCAGCGCTCTTGAAGGCCTTCTCAAAGCATAAAAATTTGAGGTAGAGGTTTGATTGCCATTCCATGCTTTGTTCTTTGATGATGATTCGTAGAGTTGCAATTTGGTCAGAACATGATTTGCCTTTCCTGAATGCAGCCAGCTTGTTCCGGTCGGAGTTCTGTCCCCAGTGCGTCCTTTAATCTCCCCAGGATGATGCGACTCAGAATTTTACTTGGTGTTGATAGGAGCATGATTCCCCGCCAGTTCTTGCAGAGTCCTAAGTCGTCCTTCTTTGGTAGTTTCCTTTCCTCAAATCAGTTGGCATCTTTCCCTCCTTCCAGAACTTTTGCAATAATGGAGCCTCGCCTAGATTACTAGCTCGCTAGTTTTCTAGCCGGTCCCAAGCCCGAATAAAGAGGGAGGATTGGGGTGTGGTGCTAGCAACTCCGCCCCAAAACTTAACCAAATTGCTACAGAAACTTCAACGCATAAATAAACCAGGGAGTATTAGAAATCTGTTTTTATCCTAGTTTGAGACTCACCGTGAGTATTAACCCACTGAAGTTTGAACCTAGAACCTTTCGTAATATCAATCCGTTGTCAAATTTCAAATAAATCAAACCCTCATCAAATTAGTCTGATGTCCGCTAGTGACTACCACCTGAACCCCTGGTGGGAAGTCGTGAGAACTGGAGTCTACCAGGTCGGATTTGAGGACAAATACTTGCTGATGACATTGGCTGATGGTGGTGTCAAAATCATGAATTGACAAAAGTTATAATTCATAAGTCACTGGTTTCTGGCCCAGGTGGTTGATTGGTCAACGCTCTTGGTCTCACAACCTAAAGATCCTTGGTGAGGTCGTTGGTGTATGCTGCTGAAGAGTCGCGAAGTAAGCGGAAACAGGTGTCCAGTACTCTCTGGGCATTGTTCAGTGTTTCTCAAACTGAATATCAATCCCTATTCAAATTTGAAACAAATATTACCGTAATAAAGTATCTAATCAAATTTATCCATCATCCTGGAGAGAATCAAACAAGCCCTGGATGAAAAACTTCGACCGGAACAAGCTGGATTCAGGAGATTCAAGTCATGTATTGATCAAATCGTCACTCTACGGATCACCATTGAACAAAGCTTGGAAGGGCAGTCACCTCTCCATCCCACTCAACTTCATCGACTTTGAAAAGGCCTCCGACAGCGTCGATCGAGAGGTTATTTGGCAACTAAATTCGCTACTACGAGGTGCCACCGACAATTATACATCTCATCCTAAAGTTGTACGACAATGCTGCATGCCAAGTAATCCACAACGGGAAACTTACGGAATCCTTCGAAGTGGGGACTGGAGTGAGGCAAGGCTGTCTACTATCGCCAGTGATTTTCCTGATTGCAGTAGATTGAATAATGTGACAGACAAAGGGCAATGAGGAAACAGGCATAAAATGGACCCTCGGGAAAAACTTGGAGGATCTGGACTTCGCCGATGACATTTGTCTAAGTTTCCACAAAGAAGATATGGAAGATATGCAAGTGAAAAGCAACAAGCTGGCAGAAGAAGCATCCAGAGAAGATAGGACTTCAAGTGAACATAGAGAAAACAGAGATGATGAAGATTCCTGGCCAACACCAACAGCAACAACAACAGACAACAATGAGCACAAATGGGAGGAACCTCAAAGAAACAACCTCCTTTACCTACCTGGGAAGCATCGTTTCGACTACAGGCCGGCGGAACTGACGAAGATATCAAAGCCAGAATCGGAAAAGCAAGACAAGCTTTCATTACTCTTAAGTCTGTGTGGAGGTCAACAGCACTCAGCATCAAAAATAAGATCCGGATTTTCAACACCAATGTAAAGTCAGTGCTACTATACGGATCAGAGACTTGGCGCTTCATAAAGAGCACATCAGACAAACTACAGACCTCCATTAACAGTTGTCTCCGCTCAGTACTCAAGATCAGATGGCGGGCCAGAAAAGATCAGCAACACGGAGGGATCTCTGGCAATGAGCGAACCAACTCAGCAGGAACCGGCTGTACAAGAAATAAGCAGGAAGAAATGGAGCTGGATTGACCATTCTATGAGAAAACTATCAAGTGACATCATACATCAGGCTCTCAAGTGGAACCCGAAAGGGAAGCGGCGAGTTGATCGTCAGTGCAAGGGTAACTTGGAGGAGGTCATGTGAAGTGGAGATGAAAGCATGTGGGCAGACTTGGAGCGGGGTGAAAACTTTAGAAGAGGACCGAACGCAATGCAGACGTGCAGCTGGAGCCCTATGTTCCTCTAGGAATTAAGGGAAATAATAATCAAATTTACCAGATATTATTTAGAGAAAATAATTTACTTTGTATATCCATCAATATATCTGTTTGTGATGTTCTTGGAAGTACTTTAAACTCTTGAAAATCTGTTAATACATGTACACCAACAATTGGTTTTTGACCAAAAGCGCGATGATCACGTACACAAATATTCATTGGTGGTAAATAGATTTCTTCTTTTGGTAATAAAACATCCAAAAATAATAATGGTAATGAAAAATTTGGATTCTTTTTAACACTTTTAATAATTGTTGATTCAACCACTTTACCGCCAATTTCAAATTCTACTGATGGTGAATTAACACTGGATAGTTTATATTTACGCATTGATCTAACACCCCAGCAAAGAATTTCTATACCAGTACGTTGAAGTACTGGACGTATACCTTCAGGAACATTGAATAATGTTCCACGACGTGTAGGTGGTGGTGGTGGAGTTTTACCATCAAGCTAGAAATAAAAATTTTATAAAGAAAAAGGAAAAGGGATCAGGTTTACAGAAAAAAGTTTAACAAACAAACTTAAAGAACACCGTCAAAGCATCTGCACAAGGAGTCAACATATCAGCATGAAACTAAGCACTTCGGTCCAATCGATCGGCAGGAAAATCTAAAATTTAATTCAAAGTAACTATTGTTTCCTTCTGTCATTCTTGTTTGGCAGAGAACTGCAGTGTAATCCGTTTGAGATTCATTAAATAGATATATCTGCATCCCCGATGATTTACGATATTCTCATCAAAACCCAGTATCTATCGAATTATATGCCAGAGTAATCCATTAAGCCAACGGGTTAGAAATAATAAATAACGACAGTCTCATTCTGTCCATCTGTTAATTTTGCTACCGATAAGTCTTCACTGGTTTTTATCAAAACTGAACCGAAATTTTACTCAGAATGCACTTCTGATAAGTATTTAAAGGCGAACTTGAGTAATGTTAGAGAATATCTGTAATGTACATTGTTGATTCACACAAATACACGTAGAAGACTTCTTTAAACTGATGTAACTTTTACTAGTGTCACAGTCATCATTTCAACACAACTCAAAAGTTGATCAATATTCTGCCTCTCATGGGTCGACATTTTGTCTGGAAAATTGACCAATCAGAGTTGTCCTATAGATAACTATACAGACAACTAACGGATTTAACCTTGATAACGCCGACGTCATTCGTCCGTGTGTATATCACATGAGGCTGCAAGTATATAGGAAGGACTGAGAGGAAAGCGTTTGCTAGAGTTTCGGAGCATATCATGAGAAGTCTCTGCATGAAAGGTAGTAAACTGTTCTCAAGAGAAATTGCCGGACACCTTATTGACGTGGGGCATACAGTGGAAGTTGGTCAGCCTTTTAAAATATTCAATGCATAAAAATGACTCTGGTTACTTCCGTTCACAGAAGCCATTGCTATCAGAAGACTTTAACTCAACCTCTGTATACAGAAAGAGAGAGTATGACTAGTCTCTCAATACCCTGGTAACTGTATTTGTTTCTTTTGCGTAACATTTAATTTAATTTTGGTTTTGATTTTCAGTTAATGAGATTAGCTCACTGTTAGGTTTCCAAGTTTACTGAATTGTTTTGACTATTTGATAATTTTACTTTATTGGCTGTCCCCAACCCTTCTGAACTCTCCATCATATGTGTAAATTCACCTTGGTCTTATATGCTGATGTTTGGCCTTAGTTTATCCTTGTTTCCAAGTGAAGTATGAACTCTACTCCAGTTGTGTAATTATTATATAAATAGTTATTCTTTTAACACTGGGTAATTCGCCTGCTCACATCATTTTTAGAATTATGTCGCTTATACTTTTCTATCTATAACTCGAAGTCATTGTGAAAAGGTATGCTCAGAAATTTTGTAACTTATAATTTGATTTTGTTTAGGATGTAGGCAGTTGAAGGAGAATTCACTATACAAATAAAACGAGCTTGTGGTATTATCCTGCAAATGTATTCGTTCTTTTTTTATTCAGAATAACAATTGGAAGCGTTTACATGAAGTGGTCTAGGGGATAACGCTTTGGAGCTTGACACTATGGGCACTGGGTTCAAGCCTCGTCGATAACACCATCAGTCATCGGAGAATGTAGGTACATCCAGATGAGGAGGCCAAAATAGGATGAAATGTGCATCCTGGATCTCAGTGGTAGTCACTATCCCCAGTTTACCACAAAAATAATAATTTCGTTTGAAATCATGATTAGAAATGGTTAATAGAATTACTCAAAGTATGTATGTCGTTGTAAATTAGACAAAAGAAATAGTAAGATATTTACTATTTCAAACAGTTGAATCAAACAAATGAAATTTATCAATCATTTTGTAAGACTACAATGAATGAATAGTTGAACACATTATGTACTACACTAAATATGTTGATTGGTCATTAGTCCTAGTAATTAAATAACGCAACCATTTCATTAACAGTTGCCTTCAGTTAATACTGAAGAATAGATAGCCAATCAGAAAGGATAAGCGACCCACAGTAGAAAATGGAGATATATATGACAAAAGCTAAAGAGACTTTAATTGGTGGATAGTGGCTAGCAGTGGAATCCAGGATGCGCATTTCGCCCTATTTAGGACTGGTCATCTGGATGTACTTGCATTTCCCAGTAAAGTGATGATGTCCTTTCAAAGGCCTGAACACAGTGCCCATAGTTTCAAACGCCAAAGCGTTATCCACTAGACCACTTGGGCCACGAGACATTTAAATAATATGACACACTAGGCTGTCAAGTGGAACTCGAATCAAAAGGGACAGGTTCAGTCTCTATCTGATCATGATATGGAGGAGATTATTTAAAGAGGGAAACGAAAGCTCATAGGAATTGTAGAGCCGTTAGGGAAAACAATATCAGAGGACTAGTTGCAATGCACTAGTGCAACTGGGGCCCCATATTCAACTCGATAGGCGAAGAATGAGTGAAAGGATGATAATAATAATAATAACAATAATCCACTCTCAGTCATTTTGGACAGTCTATCCAAATGAATCGTTGACTATTAAACATTCTCTATGGGTAGCTTCAACTCAAGTCCCCCTACCAAGTTGCTGATAATCTCGATATTTTATGTCTTTCTACACATTATTTCATTGTAATAATGATAATCACAGTAATTTTGAAAACTTACCAAAATTAATTCAAATGCAGCTAATATATCTCCAGCTTTTTTGCCTTGTTTTTCAATTGTATACCATTGAAGTATATTTCTCCAGGATGTTTCTGGATCTAAACGAACAACTGGTGTAATCTAAATAATAATAATAATAATAAATATTCAAATTCATTATGTGAGTAAGTAGAAAGTTTTATGTGTAAATGTTGTGAAAACAAATTGTTGAATAACAAAAAACATCATCTTACTGATCTAATATTTTGGTGGAAAAGAAATTCTCGTTTTCATAGCCTCCATTCTATGAACAGCTTATTCTAGTCATTCACTGGTGAACATAAATGTTAAGGAAATTTTACCTTACATGTTTAACTCTGTGTGTACCTATGTATTCATCTATTTTTTCTGTTTGGAGCTGGGTACATATATAACGACAGAAGACAAGGGCCAGGAAACAGATCGTTTATTGAGAAAACCAACAGATATTTATAGATTTTTATATACATTATTAATCATTATTGTTAGCATAGAGGTAGCGTCTTCTGATTGGTTGTTTTCCTGCTGAAGGTTATCCTGTCATCTGTTAGTTGCCGTTTCTTAGACAGTCTGGTGATATATCTGCTAATCGTATCCGCCCACGCTAACTAAGTCTGTTGTGATTGGTTGTTCAGTTCCCCAAGGCTACGCTTTGTTCTTGTTTATTGTCATGATTCCGATTCGGCACGTAAACGTGAATTGTTGTTTGCAATTTTGGCTTGCAGACAGCTCTCACCACATATACAGCATTGGTCAAAAAACACAGCTCACCGCTTTCAAGAGTGCATCCTAGCTTAATTGAGCAAAACACAGTTTAAAGACATTAATTCTTATTCAAGTGTTGGTTTGTAGGGATTTGATTGATTTCAGGATTTCATCATGAGCTGACATTAGTTATAGAACCATTGGAAAACTAACTAACTAATGTCAGCTCATGATGAAATCCTGAAATCAATCAAATCCCTACAAACCAACACTTGAATACCAATAAGATGCTCACTGGCAACTGGCCCTATTCAGGTAGGTAGTTACCTGGGTTCCAGTGGGAAGTCGTGACCAGTAGGGTGCAGCTGGTCGGGTGTGAGGACAAATACTCGCCGAAGACATTGGCTAGCGGTCGCGCTATGTCGTGAATTGGCAGAAGTTAGAATTCAAGGACCATTGGATCGGGTCCCAGTGGCTTAATGGTATACGAGCTCGCCTTGTAACCGGAAGGTCCTGGGTTCGAATCCCGGTGGGTGCGTACTGCTTAAGAGTCCCAAACCAGGACGAAACAGCTGTCGAGTACTCCCAGGTTTTCCAATGGTTCTCTAACTAATGTCAGCTCATGATGAAATCCTGAAAACATTAATTCTTGTCTACTGCAACTTGCGGTTCATATATTGATCACACAGCTTCTAATGTACCCGTTAATAAGATCCAAGAAAGTTTACCAAAAGGGACCAGAATGAATTAGATTTCTCTCTACCAAGATATATATATATATATATATGCATGTCGTAACACTTTGGCACCCTGTAAATCTTAACGCCTTATCTCACTATGACGCTCTGACAGTGTGCTTGCTAATGGACAATGGTTTGTTAAAAGTTGCACATTATTTTTATTAAAAATTCAGGCTGTACGCAGCTGATGCGAACCAACGAAATAAAATGGATCCAGATTATTCTGCGCTAATGTTGCTTCTTTCTTTGTTCAAATTTTGTATGCTGGTAGCTTTGCCAATACATAATTTAAAGCTGGGACTTTGTATAAAAATTTTAATCTGTACGATATCTTTCATTGGAATATTGTGGTGATTGACTATTTCTATCTCTGTATTGTTTGAATACTTACTGTTGATTGTTAATATTTCTTAAATGAATTGCATTATAATTCCGCTAAATACAAATTCCTGAATTCCGCCCTCTCTGTGTTTTGGTTGGATTCTTGTTATTCGGTCATCTGGAAATACTAATACTACGATTACAAATAATTACAACAAATGGCTTCAATTTTATCATGAGATTTTTACAAAACTTATTAATTCTGTTTATAATGGTCATGATAAAGGGAAAGATTGCAAGTATTTTTTTTAATACTTGGCGCTATCAGTTGGCAACAGTATGCATTCTGGCTAGCAAAGAGATAGTGTAAGTGTATTTATTACTCAACAGTAACAGAACATCTAGTGAACTCAGGAGATCCAGCCAGCTCCATTTGAAAAGTCATTGGAAGTCCTATATAGGATCCAGTTCAACCTTGCAAACGGATTGATATCAAGATATCTGGGCATAGCTGAAACATTTGTGGTTCAATTGTTTTTAGCCAACGAACGCTATGTATTCAGAAGAAGGATGTTTGATCTTTGGTTTGATCATGGCTATCCTAAGCAATCAATCCTCCTGAAATGTATTCTCTGAACTTTCTGTTTATTTTTCTTACTATTATGTTTTTAATGCCTGTCTGCATTACGTAATTTTCATCATGATTATTCTTTGTGATTTGACCTTCAACAGGAGGTTGTTCTAAAACATTCTCACCTCTTTGTTATGTATTCACGAATATACACCTGCGTAGTTTATGACTTCGTTGGAGGGAGAATTTTCTTCTCTGCAACCGTCTTTCCGTTTTTTCTCCTTTTGATCATATTTATGAATGTGCTTAATCTTCCTATCATTGTCCAATTAGGTATATCCACTGAACTTTTTGTCCGCCTTAATTTATTTTATTCACTCAGATTTCCAATCACTTTTTGATTATAGGAATTATTTTAAAAAAAAACGGTTGCAGTGGAGAAAATTTTCTTTTCGACGAAGTCATCAACTAGGCTCTACATTCTTGTATTTATATTACATGTGTGAGAAGGTTCCAGAGTTATTTCCGGTCAGAGATCACATTAATAAGATAACTAAGTGTAATAAACAGAGGAAAGGTAGTGGCACTATTCTAGAAATAATTCAGATCAAAGGTCAATTTAAAAATTACAATGTGTATTAATCAAGAAGATCGGGTAGAAAAGACAAAATAGGATTATAATTACTAGAAAACTAGTCAGTTAGTATAATTACGGATTAAGGAAGTAGTATTAAAAAAATAGGTAGGAGGTTCGAACATATAAAAATAAAAATAAAAACAGTAACGAAATATAGTAATGCAGATAGATAGGAATTAAAAACGTAAATATAACAGAAATCAACGGAAAGGTTGGACAAGAAAGGTAATTGGATAATCATTATTGGTGGGACTGACTTTTTATGACGGCCGGGGTAAGGACAACAATTAGACGTATTTCTCCTGTGGGCACATAGGATAGGCTTCAGTTATTGGATTGCCAGTGCTTCAGCTATTCCTAGATGTCTTGATTTTACTCTCTTTGGTAGGTGGGATCGGATGTTATATAAAGCTTTGAAAGATTTTCTAAACGGGGCTGAATGTCCAGAACGTACCAGATGCTCTGTTATCGAACTGTGTACCCCTTTGCGTCCTTTCTTTGTTAGCTATGCTGGATAGTGTTCCCACGCATGGTAAGGCCAATGTACTCAGTTCCACACGAGCAAGTGAACTTGTATATGCATGCTGAAGTGACCCAATGCGACAGCTTGTCTTTCACATGTTGAGTGAGTAGTTTCTTGCAGAAGAATGTTATTTGTAGGCTGGCGGCCAAGTCTGTTTTACTGAGAGACTTCGCAAGCCGTCTACGGAGAATTTCTGCTCAGGTATCACTTTTAAATCTGAGGTTCAATATCAGCATCTTATTGGGGGCGACTTGAACCTTTTCAGGTGCTTTCCTTGGTTTTAGATTCTTGTCTACGAATCTGCATAGGAATCCATTTTCTTTCAAGGTCCCTCGGAGATTTTGCAATTCTTCATCAATTGACTCTTCAGTGCAAATCTTTCGGATCCTCAAAGAAAGAGAGTACATTAGGTTTCTATTTTTGTTTAGAGGCACACGGCTTTGAAAGTTAATAAACTGTCCGTTCCATGTGGGCTTTCTGTAGATGGGTCTTCTTAGCAAGTTGTCTGTATTCTTTCGTGGTTGAACATCGAGGAAACGAAACATTGAGTTAGACTCAACTTTCAGAGTGAAGTCGATGTGTGGGTGGACGTTACGGGAGATTTGGAGTAGATTTTTTGAGCACAATTCTCATCACAAATAATGAAAGTATCATCGATGTATCTCTTGTGGAGATGGAGGTCGTCGGTAGCTGATGATAAGGCGTTGTTTTCTAGGTTAGCCATAAAGCAGTCAGCCAGAAAGGGTCCTAAAGGAGAACCCATTGCTACTCCATCTACTTGCCTGTGTATTTGGTTGTTGAAGGTGCATCGCAGAAACAGTTCTTTTAGGTAATGAATCGGTATACCAACACCGATGCTACTGAATTGAATGTAGTCACAAAGGAAACATACGGCTTCTGTCAATGGAACGTTGGTGAAGATAGAGACGATATCCAAGGAGACCATTTTCTTATCTGCCACGTTGACATTCTTAATTGAATCAAAAACGTCGAATGTGTCACGGAGGTTGTGTCTTGACTTGCTGATTCCTAATCATCTACACCAATATTATCGTACTTTAGTATTTCCACTTACTGTCAATCTTTAACACACACACATACATACACACACTCGAAAAGAAGTCAAAACTATCTGTTTGAAACTACATACAGCTGACTGAGATGAGTAGTTATAAACCACTCACGTTAACCAGTAGTGTTTTCTAGCGAGACTGAATACCTGACTGCTGTTTTGCTCATTCGGTGCCACGATCATCAGCGATGAACTCAGTTTGCCTCAGTTCACATAGCCGAATCAGTTTTTTAACCACTAGAATTCTGACTACCTTCATGGAAGAATTGGAAATTCAACAACAGGTCAACAAAGTGAAATTTCACTACAGCTTCCTTTGAAAATCAAAATTGTTCAGATTACAGTATGTAATCAGCCAAAAGTTGAAGTGAGAGGGTATACAACTACTCAACAGAGTCAGTCAGTAGTATACGTGTAGTTCTACTCAAATATACTCGCCTTCTTGATTACTATTTATGGTATCAAACATATTATCTACTGTCATTTGAGCATTTCAGTTTCCTTAAAGAAACTGTGATCAAATCTGTCCTTCTCAAACTGCAAATTTGATTTAAAACTAATTGTTATTGTCTATTTTACGGCTTTACAACTATGAAAAAGAAATTGTCTAAAAGGAGAAGTTTCTCTATTGAATTCCTTGTTTCATATGTCTTAATTGGAGTTGTTAATTTGGTCTAGTATTTTTAAAGTCTGATGAAGCTATTTACTGGTTAATTTAGCATTTACCTTCACTTTCCTAAACCTCACAACTTATTTTTTAAAATGTTTGATTGTAGCTTAGTTCCAAACCGTGTTTTTGGTACAGTTATAGAATTTTCAGCATGTGATATCAGTAGCTCAAATTTCGCAGGCCGACCAATTGATATCAGGTGTGTGTAGGCAGGGTATCGAACCCTGAACCATGTGCATGGTCGGCGACAGTCCTAACTGCTGTGCCATCGACGCGGTGGTTATATATATTGTAAGCATTTGTTTAAAATTTATAGTGAATATATGATGAATAAAAACAGTGAAAGTTAAAGTTTTAAAAAAGCTTTATTGTTTCATTGTTACATCACCTCTAGGTAAGAAATGAGGTAATACAGTTTGGAATTTCACCGATTTGAGATGCACATCAATCGGATGTATTTGTCGAGAATAACACGTTAACATTTTGAAGTAGAAAATAATAATGCTAGCAGAAGAAATTGTGTTTGAATATGATTTGATCATTTACAAACCATAAGTTTTTATATAACTTTTAGTTAGATGACATTCTGCTGATAGAAAACTTCCGCTTTGACATGCATTGATTCTTATAGATTTGATTTTATCTGTCATCAGTGAAATATATCTGAAACCTTAAAGAAGTAAATGGTTCCATTTGAGAAATTCTAATTTATACCACTCATCCTTTTCTTTAAGTTTACTTCTAGGTTTTATGAGGGGGGAGGGGTAGATTAATTTCCATAAAGATTGCATCACAAACCGTTATCAATCAAAGAAGCACTGGAAACCAATGGATTCATCAAGTTTCAACTCTTCACTAGTGTTGATTACAACCAATTAAACCAATAGTCAAAAAATCTCTCCATGTAAGATAAAGGTTCTGGTTTTAATCTCTTCCAGACTAGAACGAAACAGCTATTCAATGCTCTTTGGTTTTCAACGACTCTTCAACTGATAATGGATAATGATAAAATATATACTGGAAAAGATATAGATATATAGTAAGTGTAGGTAGAAGGTAGTGGTGCGTTTTCGAATGAATAATGATTTGTAAATGATTTCAGCTTACAGTGCAGACAAACTTTCAGTGGCTATGTGTAGATGACACAGCGGTTAGGACGCTCGCCAACCATGCATATGGTCCGGAGTTTAATTCCCCGCCGGTGGTTGACCTGCTAAATTTAGGCTACCGATATCACATACTGAAAATTCCATAGTTGTACCAAAAAAGTACAGTGTGGAATCAAGCTATACATAAAACAAAACAAAACAATTTAAAGCTTACCTGTAATCTACCTAAGAAATGATCTGAACTCAACTGATCATAATCGAATAATTCAAGAATAACGGGTGGTGGACTGTATTCTATAGACTTTGGATCACCACACATGTCAATTTGTTCATATATCAATGTCTCATCCCATGTTGGACATAGCGATTGTTGAATAATCTGTGTCTCTTGACTATAACCTTGAAATGAACATCGTACATACGCATCAGATAATCCAGAGTTATCAGCTGCTAAAATACTGCGGGCTTGAAAAATATAAGCTCGTAAATGCCATATATGGGATGCTGAAAATAAAAAGTTATGCAGATGAAGTATAAGTGGAAAATAAGGTATAAACGATACATTCAGTTAAAGAGTGTTGATCAACAAGGGACTAGATGCATAACATTAGTTCCCGAACACTGTATTTATTATAGTCCTACAGGAGGTCAATCATGAGCCTGAATATTATTATCATTATTGTTACCTTGGGTTTCGAGTAGAACACGGGGCCTCAACAGCACATCTCCACTTCGTCCTATTTTCTGAGGTCCTCTCTCATCCCCTCTTCACATGACCGCTCCCATATTACCCTCAGAAGCCCCACTCATCGCCTCCCATTAGGCTTCCACTCTCGACCAATAGCCTGCATTGCGCGCGACGCAAGCCGACGGCCTCCTCAGCGTGTGCCTAATCCATCTTCATTTTCTCCGACATAATTGTTAGCAGCAGCCTCAGTGTCTCTTGCTGCTTATTCTTTCTGACCATTTCATCTTCACTATCGAGTCAGAGAAGGCAGCTTTTGATAAAAGTCCTCAGTAGCCTGTTGTAAATGTGTAACAACAGAAGACAAGGGCCAGGAAACAGATCGTTTATTAAGGAAATCAACACATATGTATAGATTTTCATGTACATTATTATAGATTATTGTTAGCTGACAAACACAGTCTTCTGATTGGTTATTTCTCACTGAAATTTAATCTTTCATCTCTTTGTTGTTGTTTCTTGAATGTCAGACCATCTATATGCTAACTGTATCCGCCTACGCAAAGCCGTTTACTCTCATTTTTCCCACAGACAAAAACATTGACGTAAATAACTGTCTACCAATTTGGCTAGCAGTCAACTCTCACCACAATTGCTTTTCCTGAATCGTCAATTCTCTCACCCATATAGAAGAACTGACTGACTTAACATCGGCGCCAGAAGATGGGAATCTCGCTCTTTATCCTGGGGGAAGCAGATTCCCATACTGATTTCAGAGTGATGAAGGCTTACTCTGCCTCTGATATACTCATCCATTACCTCCGTCTGTGGCTGAAACGATACTGCCTAGATAAGTGAAGGAACTGACACTTCTCGAATTTCTCCTGTTAATAGGGATTGGTGCTTGTTACTGTTGTTGTTGTTGCTAGCTGGTCATCTTCATCACTTGAAGTCATGCCTTTTCCGCCTGCTTTATTCTGACATTTTGTCGATTTCCACCTATGAGTCTTGCACTTTGTGCGATATTAGGCATAAAACATCTGCAAAGTCCAGATCTTCCTGTTATGTACTGGTCGAGAATTTAATAGTCCTGACGCAAGAAAAGACGGAAATCAGAAGACCACTAGGTTTGCGATGATACTTCTATTTTCCAAAACACCAGGAGAATCAATGTCGCACAAAAGTGTGAGAGCAAAATATATGAATGTCCGAACAAGTGTGTCGACACAAGTGTGTGAGTGAATATTCAAAATGAACAAATCAATAGACAGTCGTAACATGATTGGCTAATTATAATGGAATATCGATCCATGTATACATAGTAAAATATAACAGACATGTCAAACAAACACACATATTATATGGATACATATCACTCCCAGAATCTTCTTATTGGTTCTACCTTTTGGCTCCCTACGGCATTTCGTATGATCCAGTCCACTACAATTACTTTTTAGGACTATCGCTCTGTCTCATCTTACTATGGAGTAGGAATAACGTGCCATATCAATATCAAAGATGTGGAGAATACTACTAACAGCATAATTCAAAGATACGAAGTAATGAAATTATATAGACATAGTTTGAAGGTTATGTTAAAGCCTCGATATGATGATGATGATGAGCATAAAAGTATGCTAGAAATGTCATTAGTAAATGATATTGTAACACTCTGTGTGGGTTTTCATCAAATAAAACTATACTGAAGATAGAATCGAACACTACCACAGTGTTAAAATACTATTCTTACATCAATATTAATCTTGAAGGCTGTTCACATTTACTAATATCAGCATTTTTTTTTCAAGGAATACAACTCCGAATATCAGTAGTTTTATGATATCAAGGTTGCTTTCAAAAAAATATATATATAACTGCTAGCGTCAAGTTGTTATAATGAAATGTTTAAATTCAGTATATGTGAGATACTAGAATTTAATCTATCTATCCATTCACCTTAACTTTAGTGATCAGACGAGAACTGGACTGGATTATACGTCAAACTGTGCATTGGGAGCGAGGAGACAGGGAAACCCTGGACCACCGATAAGAAGACTCTAAGAGATCTGGATTTCGCAGATGATATATGTCTAATGCCACACAAACTCAAAGACTTGCAGTCGAAAACTAACAAACTGCCTGAAGAGGCTGGCAGCGAAAACAGGACTGAAGGTGAAAACAGCCAATCAACAGAGACAACAATCAGCACCGATCAAAATAAACGGGAGAGAATTGACAAAGGTCGCCTCCTTCACATATCTGGGAAGCATCCTTTCAATTACAGGAAGTGGGAACGGACGAAGATGTCAAAGTTAGCCAGGCAGCCAGCCAGTCAGAATTGGAAAGGCAAGATACGCCTTCATCAGTCTGAAACCAGCTTTGAAATCTTCTGCAATCAGTCTGCATAAGGGACAAGATTCCCTTTTTCAACACCATTGTGAAGTCAGTTCTTCTATACAGGTGAGAAACTTGCACTACGCGTCAAGGAAAGGATTTTCAACAGGCTACTGCAGACTTCCATCAACAGCTGTCTTCGTTGGCTCCGTACTGAAGATCAAATGGCCAGCCAGAAAGAATAAGTAGCAAGAAACTCTGTCAAAGAACAAACCAAACAAAGGCCGATCGCGCTCAACAAGTATGTAAGAGAGAGAGTAGAGATGGACCGGGCATACATTGAGGAGGCCATCGAATGACATCGAACGCCAGGCAATACCTCTAGTGGGATCCAAACGGGGAGCGACGAGTGGGTCGTCAATGTGCGGATGATATGAAGGAGATCGTGTGAGGAAGAGATGAGACAGTGTGGTCAGTCGTGGAGCTATCCAGCTGAAGAGGACGGCAGAAAACAGAGCAAAGTGGAAATGTCTTGCTGAAGCTCTATGTTCCACTCGGAACGCAAGGGAATAGTAGTAATAATAGTTCAAATAATTCTACAACTTTGCTGCTGCATGGTTGGAGGTAATCGGTGAGAAGCCTTAGACCTGTGTTTCACACTTCTCAGCAGTCATCAGCCGAAGAATTCTTTTTGCGTCTGAGGTTCGGATCTGCATCACCCAGTGCGGCAGTCAGAGACATCATCACTGAGCTGTTCAAGCTCGCAACTGACCTCCTGTAGGAGCATAATGAATAATAAAGTAGGTGGTACTACCAAACAACCCATCTGTTTCACAAAAGATGTCATTTTATGAAGCTGACATAAACTTAAATTATAAAATGAATAATGGTAATAAAGATAACCTCATTAATTATTACTCACTTCGAAAACGCATAAATACTCTTGGTACAGTGAGATTCTCTTTCTGTTAAAACATTAAAAAAAAAATTTAAGAACGATTAAAAGTAACTGAACGTAGTACAAAGACAATGTAACACATTGTAATCAACACATGGATTATACAAGTTGACGTCAAAACTGTCGTTATTGATTAGGCACAAAAAGTTGATAGTAAAGAAACTTTAGTTTTAAGGTTTTACTCCTTTTCCGCAATGGAAAAAATCACAATACTATGTGAATGAGTTATACTTTTTTCCCAATCAATTAATGTTTGAAATAACTTTTCAAATATTTCACATGAAGTAAACACACAAGTATTAGTTAATTAAGGCTCAATGGCAAAGAAAAACACACATGACCTTGACTTAAGATTAGGCGCCAAATTCAAAAAGTTGAAATTATTTTTAGCAACATATGTTGTTTGTATATCAGGAATGATTAAAGTTAGGCATTATTATGAAACTGTAATAAAAGATAGGTGTAAATGCATAAATATGTATTACTGAAAAGCAAAACAAACTGATGCTTGCAGCAAAGATCTTTGCAGTGATATAACAGAAAAACATTTTATAAGTTTTTTGGCAAATTGTATATTAAGAAAAATGGTTATCTAAAACCGTTTGGTCCCCCTCCCACCGATGAAATATGGCAAAACAGAAAGAAAACGTAATTTGTCTGGGACGTGTGGTGTGTATTTGCGGCAAATTTAAACTTTAATCACCAGTAAGTTCCAATGGACAAATAATCTTGAACGCATCAACCACATGATATAGGATATTTTTGAATATAAAATACATATATTCATGAAAATAATCATTTAAAAGGCAGGAAACTGTTACACAGGATACTTCCCTCTGATATATGACAAAAATACCCCTCAATTTTTGATTGCAGTGTCAACACAGTAATTTAACAGCATTCTATGTACGTAATTATCTAGTCTTCTAACTCTAACCCAAACATGAAAATATCCCGAAACTAACCCTCAAACTAACTCAAACCAATCCCAATGTCACCTTCGTTAGGTTAACCTAAGCCTAACCTGTCCTTAGTCTAAATCTTGACCTAGACTTTCCCACAGATAACCTGAAACTTACCAGATATCCCATTTAATAACACACCACCTTATTCAGAATATTTTATTAATGATTACTACATTATTTACTTGGTTCCACCAGCTTGTCTACTGAGAGTTTCAAGGTCATTGGTGCGATCGCACTCCGCTGGTAAATCCTGGTGGTTAAAGTTTAACACTATAAAATGATATATTCAAAATGAAGTATTTGGATAAAACAATGAAGCAACAGGACGCAGTTCTAGTGAGAAGTCGTGACGAGTTGTGAGGTCCATCCAGTCGGGAATTAGGGTGGATTTCTCGCCGATAACAATGGTTGGTGGTCACGCTAAAATCAAGAAGTGGTAGGATTTAGAATTCATTAGCTGGCCACTGAATCTGGCCTCAGTCGCTTGCCTTGTAACCGGAAGGTTCCAGGTTCGAGCCCCAGGGGGTGAGCAATGTCAGTGATTCCCAAACTGGGATGAAACACATCTCCAATTCTCCTGGGTGTTTAGTGGTCCTCTAAATGATATCAATTCATGATCAAACTCGATAACGAAGCAAAAACCAAGCTCATAAGCAAGTGATTTAAATAATCATCTGCATTTAAAAGTGCAGAATTTATTTCCAAACTTACAAATCTGTGCATTCAATATGTATTACTCGGCTTATTTTTGTCAGAATGTGAGTTGAAAAAAAGCTGAATTTCAAACTTTCAGTTTAGGAGGAAACTGAGTCGTTAAGGGATGGTGCCAAAGGTTTTTTCAAATGCTTTGCCACCTTCGCTCCATACAGCTCTCATTTAAAGCCTAAACAACTTCAAGAGTTGATTAAATGATAAACTTCATTGCATATGAAGTCGAATAGAACTGAAATTATATAATAAAGTAGACTTCTAGTTCAGGGTGAACTGTGTAATTCAATTACAAATGGATTTCCATCAAACTCACAGTAACAGTTGCATGAGTGTAATTCTTACAGTTGATCTAATTATGATCTATTGACTTATATGACTAATTTTTGGTTCCCAGTGGTTCAATGATCTACGAGCTCACGTTATAACCAGAAGGTCCGGGGTTTGAACCCCGGTGAGTGCTTACTGCTGAAGAGTCCCAAACTGGGCTGACAAAACAGCTGTCCAGTACTACCTGCAGGTTTTCCAGTGGTTCTCTAACTGATGTCAGCTCATGATGAAATCCTCCGTGCAGTTCACTGATTATCGCCTGATTTGATTTTATTAACACATCTATTGGATGTCTGTCCAAATGACTGTTGACTAAGATTTTGTTGAAGCCACTTTTTTCTCTTTCATTCCTTCACGTTCCATGTGGAATATACAGCTTCAAAATTGAGTTGTGAAGTTCCAGATAAAAATGTTTTTACTTTACGCCCAATCTTCTCTCTTAACCAGGCTTAAAACCAGTTAGATGAGGTTTAAAAGTGAGTCAGTCGGGAAGCAAAACAGGACTCTCTGAGTACCCCCAGGGAGTATTTTGCTACTGAACTACCGAAGAACATGGCATACTTCTAGGAATCCATATATATCTTCCTTTAAATAGTTTGAACTAAGCAAGAACGAGGATATTTACAGAAGAGTCTAGAAATACGTAAGTATTTAGGATATTAGCAATCGAAGAAAAATCATGAAATGATGTACTCCCTTTGTCCTACAAATTTAATTAATTCTTTCTTTTAAAAAATCCATTAACAAATTTTAAATCTACACTTTAACCCAACCACAAAAATTGTCAACATCTCTATGCTCATCAATCCACCCAGGCGAGGTGATAATATCGTTTGTGAACATAATAACCATAGGAAAACACAATCAAGAATTTTTAAAATCTTTCTTTTTTCTGTTTACTTAGCACTGTTGTTATACACATGGTGGCAATATATTCTTAAAATATGTTAAATGGTTATTAATTTTTCAGAAAAGATTAAGAAGGTATATGAGTCAAAAAAGCAGTTTTTCTCGAACCTTAATACCATTTTTGAAGGGAATATTTCGATATGTATATTTCATGCATGTGAGTAATAAAAATTCACATCCAAGGTCATGCAACACATGCGAACCAATCACGAACAAGCAAAGTATATAAACAACATGCAGTGTGACCTTTGCGCCACAATTTCGATTGGTCAAAAACTGGGCATAAATGTTAACGACATATTGATTTTATGAAAGATCAATAGAATTCATTATTTTATAGAATTTACAGTTGTGACAGAGTAGGAAATGGTTGTAAATATTTGTATATGTGTTATTTAAGCAGCCAATATCCATTGTTGAGACTAACTAAATGAACAACTTTTATTCAAGGTGCAACATGCATCCCACTCCATATGAGGAATAACAGTATGTTATTAAAAATATATTGCATAATAGTTCTCTTGTTTTTGACAGGCTTTTATTTTGTTTTGGAATTAACTAACCTTCCTGCGTTTGGAGACGTGAAATAACTTGGTATGATAGGTAGAAAAAGTAAGGTTATTTATAAGTATACATTAGTGAACATAAGAATTAGTTAGCAAAAAGAGAAATAAAATGACCGCCTCATGTAAAAGCTACATATGAATATAACTAACGGCTGATTGACTAGTAATGAATTAGTCAATATTTTTTTCATTTGTTTTTTATTATTATATTATATTTTAAAGGTTACCTAACCTCTTCTAATAGAAATTATCTGTTCCGTACGTTTTTAATTTTTTTCATTCTGTATGTTTAAATGAAGTCGTGACCAGTAGGGTGCAGCGGGTCGGGTGTGAGGACAAATACTCGCCGAAGACATTGGCTAGCGGTCACACTATATCGTGAATTGACAGAAGTTAGAATTCAAGGACCATTGGATCGGATCCCAGTGGCTCAATGGTATACGAGCTAGCTCGCCTTGTAACCAGAAGGTCCTGGGTTCGAATCCCGGTGGTTGCGTATTGTTGAAGAGACCCGAACTAGGACGAAATATCTGTCTAGTACTCCTGACTGGTTTTCCAATGGTTCTCTAACTAATGTCAGCTCATGATGAAATCCTGAAACCAATCGAATCCCTACAAACCAACACTTGAAGTTATCTGCAGTTTATTTAGTTGTATAAAAGACTGAAGTGATATACTATTGTGTTGGAGAGTTGAACAGTTTAACAGTCAGTCCCAGATGCATTCGTCAACCAGAACTTGGCTATAACCTACTGCCCAACAAATACACAGAGGGAAATGCGGATGAATTAGATAAAACACTGAAAACACATCCAAGTGACCTTATATCACAGGCTGCCAAGTAGGCCTCGAATGGAAAGTGAAGGGTTGGGCGTGAGTCTAGAGGTGATATTGAGAAGGTTATATGAAGTGAGTCGATAGTGATGGCAAAGAAACGAGTGCTGTTGAAGCCGTATTCAACAGTCGGCACTCAAGGAGTGAATGGTATTAAGAAATATTGAAAATGACATTTACCTTCTTACTAAGCAATATTTAAATGGTTATTGAAATTCCTCATCTTTTAAATTGGATTATGAATTGGGAAATTCAGTAGGAGAATTATCATTTGAAAACATTTTTACCAAATAAAATAAAAACTAAACAGTTCGCAGTATATACTACTGAAAGGTATGGGTTTCCACCAGACTAACCACACACCAATAACAATGTCCAGTGTATAAGCGTAATTAACATATGGAGTAAGGTGATTGCCTACTTGAATCAGTCGATGGTCATCATCACTTTAACTTGAGTGGCTAGTTTGAAACACACCCAAAAGGTTGAATCGCGTCAGTGGCGCAGCGATAGAATGCTCGCCCACCACGCATGTGGTCCAGGGTTCGATCCTCGGCCACCGACGCTCTTCTTTGTCTCGCTAAGCTAGTAATATGACTGGTAAAGAGGGAAGGTTGGATATGACGCTAGCAACCCTATCCTTTAAAAATAAACACCATTGTTACCGAAACTTCAAGCCTCTAGCATGAAGACTTATATTTCACGGGGAATGTGAACGAATAAACAAAAGGGTTAGATCAATTAAATTCTAGCTATCTATCAGATTAAAACCAAGCGTTTACAAGGTGATTTCAAAAATCAACTTTGGTAAAATTCACTAGACCTAGCGACTAAACTTTGAAAACTTGAAGAAACATCCTAGAGTTGAACGAAATAAGTTTGGCCAAAGTTCCTAATAAATGTGAAGAATTTTCCACTTACCATTTGAAATAAATTCTCAAGAAACGTTTAAAAGTAGAGTGGGCGAAGAGATTCTAGTGATTATTGTCAATCTCAGCATGAAGAACAAATCAATAAACATATTTTAGAAATGTCTACTGACTGGCTACACTTGTGAAGTACAAGTAAGTTAACTAAATTCTCAGAAATACAACAATATTTGTAGTATTTCCCTTCTTATGACGGCTGAAACCTGTTAGCTGCTAATCACCTTAACTTATCGATGAAATCACTGTCTCTGAAAATCATTTAAAAACCTTTATATGTGGAATTGCTTGTCAAGTCTTTTAGTTGTTGATTCGAAACGATAGAAGGTCTCTTGTCAACAGTGATTAGACCGAGAGGCTTGCAAATCTACTAGGTAGGAAAGTTCGTTAGCTCAGGAGACTCATAAACTACTCGGTTGTGTTTGATTAACGCTCATATCAAATATATACTCACTCACTCACACAAACACACATACACTTACACACAAAAGAATATAGAAAAATGTTGAATTCCAAATAAAACTTGTCTTGCAATGAATTCAACAGGCCATTGAAATAATAATCATTAGGCAAGCAGTAAATATGCAGATAGTTATACATAAAATGGTAAACTCTTAAAAAATTATTGCACCAAAACATTCATTAGCTGTGAAAATAAACAGATAGATAGATAGACAGGCAGATAGATAGACAGACAGACAGACAAATAAATAGGTAGAACAGGCTAAGTGAAGGTGAATGCAAAACAAAAGACTATATAAGCATAAAAACAGTTAGCAGTAACCAGCTGATTGCTACATCAATACTACGAGTAATATAACAAACAATGACTAGTACTCATACTTTTTTCAACTTCAAACTACTCTCCTAAATGATAAGGGGAAAAGAAAACAAATGACAATAATAATAATAATAATGATAATAGACATAATGATTAAATTAAAGATGTCTACATGTTAAAACATCTATCAGCTTAACTGTCACATAGTGCTTTTCATTCTCTATTTCTGTTTCAGAATAAGCTGTCCGTATACTCACTTTGTATATGGTTATTTTATACAAACAGCTTATACTACCTGAATTTGATCACTGGAACTGAATGTCTCAGTAATAATGTCTTCGACTTCAACTTTGGATGATGCAAGTTCAAATCTCATCTCTTATAGTGTCAACATCATACTTACCAACAGAGTAGATATCTAATTATGAGAAAATCAATAAACCTCAAACCTTATTCAACCTGATTGTCTATTCCATTGGAAATTTTAGAAAAAATTGTAAAAATGAAGGACAAAAAGAGGTATTTTTTTTTAAAAACTTACCGCCTGTTTTGAATTATTTCTTATTTGTAAAAGACACATAGTCGTTTCTGTACTTGATTCAATTGGAGCTAATGCACGATGCCAGCGTCTCCTTCGTACCATATCCATTTTACGTTCTTTTGTATGAAATTTCGAGTCGAAATTGAAGGCATATTCCCAAGATTCAGCGGGTTCTGAACTTAAACTTCTCTATAAAATAGACGGAGAAAAGGTCATTAATTAGATTAAAATAAATTATGTGATTTATTGGGGGTATAAACAATTTTTTTTCTAGAATTGTATTGTAAAGCAATGTGTTAAAGCGTAAAGCATAAATTGAAGCAAGGGAAATAAAAACAAAGAAAAACAAACTATGAGAATACTCACCACTCAAAATTGAATGTTATTTAGAAAAAAACTACAATCACCTGATGAAACATTTAACCAATTGAAAGCAGTTCAAGAAAGCCATACTTCTTACTGGTAGTCATGAAGTTGTTGAAAGCTGCACATCGCGTTTTATTCACTGTGATGCGTTAAGTACGAAACAGGTTAATCAGTAGAGCTGTCTGTAACGATTTGATTGACTACAGGAAATGGATTTGACACTCGCTGAGGAGGCCACTGCGTGACATCGCGCGTCAAACCCTCGAGTGGGAGCCCGAAAGGGAAGCGGCGAGTGGGTCGTCAGTGCAAGGGTGACATGGAGGAGATCGTGCGAGGAGGAGTTGAAACAGTATGAACTAACATGGATGCAGGTGAAAAGTACAGCAGAAGATAGAAGCAAGTGGAGACGTGCAGTTGAAGCCTTATGTTCCACTAGGAACCCAAGGGAACAATAACAATAAATAATAACAGGTTTACCTCTATATGCCTGTACATGTGATGTTTCACAAAGTATACTGATGAGAGCAGTGACACTACAATGGTGCATATATATATCATTACAGATTAGTTCTCAATGATTCTTCAGTTTTTGTCAGTTGATGATACAATCAAAGGTAGAGTTTGCTGACAGGATCTCAACGGACGGTGACCACATAGAATGCAATGAAACTTGTTACTTCTTCCAGTCTTTCTTTATACTTTCTCTGAAAAAGTTCAGTCTTTGTTTGTTCCAGTGAGCAAGAGTACTTGTATATCAATCTATGCTTAAACCTACCAGGTCGAGGAAAAAAGAATTTCACTGAACATTTCACTTATAATTAATACTGGAAGGTCAACAATGGATAAAAAACACTCCAGAAGAAGATTAAAGTTGCCAGAAGTTGTATTATAGTAACTAAAAATATTTTTTACTGTGCCTAGAGTTTCTCCATTCCTTACTCTGCCATTGAAACATCAGGCTACTAGCTATAAAGTTCCAAGAGTGGCGGAGTTATTGTTCTACAGAGTACGGTTGCTAAAACAATGACAAACCCTCCGTGTTTTCCTCCAAGCTTTCTACCGGTTTAGCAATGTATCCTCCTGGAAATTGAATCCGGACAACATTTGTGTTTTGAGATTGTTCTACCAATGAACCTTCAGCGTATACTTAATTACCAAGTGGAAATTATTTTTCAAAAACTTGCTATTTAGAATTCTTTGTAACTGTTTGTAATTTCGTAAAATAAGCCCCAATCAATTCGTTGTTAACAGAGGCGTTACTCTTTAATATTGAATAAATGCCGGGTAAAATGACACACACATATAATACTATAGGTTAATACATTTAAGGAATACAAGAATGATGAAAGAATATATCATTTCACACAAACTGTGTATATATATATAAACACCTTTAATTAAACACAACAATCATTATTGTATAAACGTATGACACTTGAGAATTCAATGTCCAATTCAATTTTGTTTTAATTCACCCACTGAACATTCAGTCAATCATGGATCTTTATTTAAAAGAGACGCGAGATGAGCAGTGATGTTCGTTACATATATATATATATATATATATACATTATTATTATTGTATCCTTTAGTTCCTAGAGGAACATAGGGCTTCAGCTGCGCACCTCCATTGCCTTCGGTTTTCTGACAACTTTTTCACCCTGCTCCAGGTATGTCCACATGCTTTCATCTCCTCCTCGCATGATCTCCTCCAAGTCACCCTTGGACGACCAACTCGCCGCCTCCCTTTCGGGTTCCATTCGAGGGCTTGTCTAGTGATGTCACTTGATGGTTTCCTCAGCGTATGGCCAATCCATCTCCATTTCTTTCTGCCTATTTGTTCCACAATCGGTTCCTGCTTTGGTTCGCTCCCAGAGATCCCTGTTGCTGATCTTTTCTGGCTAGCCATCTGATCTCGAGTATTGAGCGAAGATATCTGTTAATGAAGGTCTGAAGTTTGTTTGAGATGCTCTTTATGACTCGCCAAGTCTCTGATCCGTATAGTAGCACTGACTTCACATTGGAGTTGAAAATCCGGATCTTATTTTTGATGCTGAGTGCTGTTGACCTCGACACAGATTTGAGAGTAATGAAAGCTTGTCTTGCTTTTCCGATTCTGGCTTTGATGTCCTCGTCAGTTCCGCCTGTAGTTGAAACGATGCTTCCCAGGTAGGTGAAGGAGGTTGTTTCTTTCAGGTTCTTCCCCCTTATGCTGATTGTTGTCTGTTGTTGTTGTTGATGTTGGCTAGGAATCTTCATCATCTCTGTTTTTTCTATGTTCACGTGAAGTCCTATCTTTGATGCTTTTTCTGCCAGCTTGTTACTTTTCACTTGCATATCTTCCAGTTTATGGGAAATCAGACATATATCATCGGCGAAATCCAGATCCTCCAAGTCTTTTGTGTCAGTCCATTTTATGCCTGTTCCCTCGTTGGTTGCCGTATATATATATATATATATATATACATTTTATACATACATGTATGTATAGTTGGTATTACTATTATTACTACAATTTTGTACTTTATGCATATTTTTCACCGTATGGCATATAGTTTTTTGCTATGTAGCTGCTATAACAATCGTTTTATTACTATTATGTAATGTGTATTTTTAATTTTTTTGTCGTTTTTGAGTAAATTAGATGGAATATTGTACTGAATGCTGAAAATTCCTTGCTCTATCATTAGTACTGTTTTTGGAATAAAGCAAAAATTATTATTATTATTATTACACATAGTATGATTATATAATAATTAAATATTTATAAGCAGTATTCTTTCCAAAATGAATACTTTGGTTATGCTGTTAACTATTGCTGACATACTCCACTGAGGTGTTCGGAGCCGGAAAAAAACAAATATAGCAGGGTATATGTGGTATACATTTTCTATTGTTTTTTTGTTCGTTTATTTTCCTGCAAGCATTCACCTCATCGAAACCATAATAATAAACAAACATGTTTGTTATTATTATTAATTATTATTACTGAGTTAGTGGAGTTTAGTGACTTGCACTGGAAAACTTACTAATAAGGATAAACGGGCTTCCTATAAAATTTAAATAATGATAATAAGGAGAGTAAAACTGGAATAGTAACCAGTAGAGTTGAACAACTTACTAATGTTAACAGATATTAGCCATGATAGAATAATTTTAAAAAGAAAAGGCAAACTACTTGATAATATGAATAAGTAGTTAAATAATAAAAGCGAAAATAATATTTTCAACAAGCTAATGGTTAGGCTGGCTGCTATAGTTAATGAATATTATACTACCTAGTGAATAAAATAATAATTTTATGAGTGAATTGGTGTAAAACCAACAAGTTAAAAAACTTTGAAAAGTTATCTGAATGGATTTTGTATTTCACATGATATATATCGTTCAGTTCAAAAAGTTTTGTATCACGCTTGAAAATACTTTAGATGGAAGTGCAGACTTTCTTTTGCTGAAACGAAGTTCCTTTCAGTGTCTGATAAATGTCTCGCCGACTCAGAGTATGTGGATGATATCATTTAGTGTATGGCATGCTGTTTACCCCCTTCATGTGCAAGGTGATACTACATGACTTATACGTACCAAATACTAGTTAAAAGATAGGTAGTGAAATGTTTGAGCATGTTGACCACTTCACTAAATTTGCGAAGTTATGTCAATCCTTATGAGCTGGTTGCTAGCTGTCTTTGACCAGAGATCTTTGTGTTCTGTCTCCTTTGTTAAGTGGAAGAATATGGTGATTAGTACCGAGGTTAGGCGGTAAGAGTTTTAGATAATGAGGGAAAGCAAGCTGATGGGGTTGTGAAGCTACATTAAATAAAGATGTCCAAGATATATGTCGTGTGTGTGTCAAACCGTCACATTCTCCATGTAGCAATCTTAGCTGACATGAGATTGAGTTGGAAAACAGTTAGGTGTGGTCAAATCAACACCCAACATCATCCATCCTATGAAGTCACTGACCACTGGTTTAGTCAAAGCATGGAGGTATAGGCTATCTGGTTAGGATTCACGAGATGTTAAGAACCAATGGTTAGTGACTCTTGGTCACACGAATCAAAATCATCTGTTTCAATCTCCTTGACCCCCTGAGTCCACGTTTTTCTCCATTTCTGTTGATTATATTTCTTTTGAATTTTTCTCTCTACCTTTGTGTGGTAAATATAGGGTGACAGCTTTTGTGTAAAGTTCTCTAGTGAAAACTCAGTCAGTTGGTCAGTCAACCGAATGTCCAAGAAGAATTTTGTTCCCCGGTTAGACGGAACCAAGGATTATTTCTTCTCTTTAAAAGTGTTTTCTAAGAGAATGAATAAAGAGAGTATTCCAAATCGAATGACAAATTCTTATTTATCTGTATAAGTGGCAAAAATGAACTCATAGTAAGGCTGAAATCTTTATGATCAGTAAGCTCTAAACTTCTTGAAAGAAAACAGATTCAATGTTTACCACTTTTGGTCAGAAGAAAATAAAAAGTACATTCAGTTATATCTGTCTGTTGTGTATTACACGTATGACAGATGCTTAATCCATCGTGTAACTGGGGCTACTGGTTGCCAATGATATGAATTTAGTACTTGGTTGGAGGATTTCATCATGAGCTGACATCAGTTAGAGAACCATTTGGAAACTTAAGAGTACTGGAGGGCTGTTTCGTCTTAGTTTGGTACTCTTCACTGGCACGCACCCACCAACATCCGAACCTAGTGGCCTAATGGGCTACGGGCTTGCTTTGTAACAAGAAGGTCCTGGGTTCGAACCCTGGCAGTGGATGCGTACTCATGAGGCGTACCAAACTAGGACGAAGTAGCTGTCCAGTACTCACA